TAGTAAAAATTTAACATGTAATATTGACCACTTTTTTGTGGACACATTAGTGACACTTATTATCATTATTAAAACATTACACATGTTCTACTGTGTACACGAAAACATAAATAATAGTATTATTCGATAAAAATCACAAGAAAAGTATCTGTGGCAACTCGCGGGTCTTGAATCACCCAAGAGATCAGCTTCGAGTCACTCCTGCACATGTGCTCAACATCTTGTGATGACATTGTGACAAATTAGATTTTGTAATTGTTTTTCCATTTACATGATCAGAGAGGCAATTTTAACAACATTAAAAAAAAAATTGGGTATAATTTTTGTTGTGCACCATGAAGTTATCATATTAAACAGCTGCACAGTACATGGGCTCATTTCTTAGACAAGTATGTATAATACAAGTATGTTTAGGGCAAGTATTCACAAATGAAAACATTAAAAAAAAATTAATATTGTAACCATACTAGTTTTCCATGCAATACAATTTACTTTAAATCTCTCTATAGTATTTACAGGGAATATACAGTGCATAATCATATCATACCATACCCAATGAAGAGCAAATAAAACTACTAGTCCATTTCAATTATTATTTACCAACTATATTTACTCCAGTACAGTATTTGAAACACTTTATTGAGTACAGCGTTACATAATGTACAAGAGAATCAGCAAACTTACGTCCAATCCATCTCTTCTACAGCCTTAGCTATTTCTGGGAGTACACCCATTTCTGAAAAATGAATATTATATAAATTTCATAAGCCAAAGTAATTGGTTAGTAACAAAACTTTTAATTATCTTGTTTTTGACTTATGAGGAGGGGGCAGCATTAGCCCAGAAGAAAAAATGCAAAACTATTGTATTGTTCTAGCAGGTTATAGGTATAAAAAAAATAAAACCACTACAATATTCCATTCATTGCATCATTCAAACTATGTAAATATAAAAAAAGACATGCACTCATCTCTCACTCTAAGCAGTATCCAACTGCTTTTTAAGACCTGTATACAGTGCTATCTCATGAATTGTCCACCATAATCAAATACTGTACATGCACTCCATCCTTACAAACTGCTTCCACCCAGCCACTATTTCCATAACCCATTTGCTGTTCACACTCATTTCCTGCTTCCTCACTAAGTTTGCCCCACTATCATCTTGGTCCTATTCTCCTATCCTGTCAGGGCGCCTGACAGCTGGGTGGACAGCGCTTCCGATTCCTAGTCCTCAGGCTCCGGGTTCTATCCCCGGTGGAGATGGACACAAATGGGAAAAATGTTTCTTTCACCCTGATGCCCCTGTTACCTAGCAGTAAATAGGTACCTGGGAGTTAGACAGCTGCTACGGGCTGCTTCCTGGGGGTGTGTAACAAAAAGGAGGCCTGGTCGAGGACCAGGCCGCGGGGATGATAAGCCCCGAAATCATCTCAAGATGACCTCAAGATATCCCAACATCTCAAGACCTCAAATTCACACCAACACACACTTGCTTATCTATTATCTACTACTGTATTTATTTTTTTACTTGCTACTATTATCCATTCATTCAACACGCCCAAACCCACCTCGGTACATACTCTGGGATCCTTTGCTCCATCAGCTTTTCCATATTTTTTTTTTTTTTAGAAATATACAAGAGTCAGAAGAACGGCAGAAACTGGATCTATATATGAAAACCCTTTCAGGACAAAATTTAAAGTAAAACTAAAGATATTTGTAGTTGTATAAAAGTTGCATTTTTCATCGGTCGTAGAGCCGGAAATCCGCAATATTCATCTCAGAACAATGATTATTTCACGCAGAATCGTTAATAAACGTAAGATTTTTATACGTCTCAAGAAAGATAGAAACATAAATTTACTTTAATCTAGTTTTACATAATTTAGTTTTACTTTAAATTTTGTCCTGAAAGAGTTTTCATATATAGATCTAGTTTCTGCCGTTCTTCTGACATAAAAAGACCTTTGGTTTAATAAGTTATTAAGATGTTTTCAACAATATTACTAGGGCGTTCACCGATTCCAACATGGGCGACCCTTTTGGAAACGCAACACTTGGGTTGACCTGATTGACAGACTGGTTATATTCCAACAGGGTCTGAGACAGGTGCATGGAATGGACTTTAGGCAGGCGATGAGTCACAATAACGTGGCTAAAGTATGTTGACCAGATCACACACTAGAAGGTGAAGGGACGACGACGTTTCGGTCCTTCCCTTCACCTTCTAGTGTGTGAATTGGTCAACAATGGATGATTGATTGATGAAGATTAAGCCACCCAAGAGGTGGCACGGGCATGAATAGCCCGTAAGTGGTGGCCCTTTTGAGCCATTACCAGTATCAAGAGCTGAGTCCATTAAAAACTGAGACAGGTCAAATAACAGATAGTGATGAAGAGATGAGTAGTATTTTTAATAAATATTTTGTATCTGTATTTACTAAAGAGGAACTTAACAATATGCCTTCAGCCGAACAAGTCTATGTGGGTGGGGACGAGGACAGGTTGACGAGTTTAGCAGTTACCAGGGAGGATGTTCTTAAACAAATAGTAAAACTCAAACCAAACAAATCCCCAGGGCCGGATGAAGTGTTTGCCAGGGTGCTTAAAGAATGCAAAGAGGAGCTTTGTGACCCACTGTCAACCATATTTAATAAATCAATAGAGTCAGGCAGAGTGCCAGAGTTTTGGAAAGTTGCTAATGTGATACCAGTTTTTAAGAAAGGAGATAGATCACTTGCGTCTAACTATCGACCAATTAGCCTAACGTCTATTGTGGGAAAGTTACTCGAATCTATAATAGCAAATAAAATTCGTCTTCATCTTGAAAAACATAAATTAATAATTGAGTCGCAACATGGTTTTATAAATGGCCGTTCATGTTTAACAAATTTGTTATCTTTTTATTCTAGCATTGTTGAGGCAGTTGATAGTGGTAAGGATTGCGATGTTGTATACCTTGACTTTAGCAAAGCTTTTGATACAGTGCCACATGAAAGACTGATTAAAAAGATAGAGTCTCATGGTATTGGGGGTGCTATATTAAGCTGGATTAGGGCATGGCTATACCAAAGGAAACAGAGAGTTAGTATAAATGGAATCAAGTCAGAGTGGGAAAATGTTGTAAGTGGAGTGCCTCAAGGCTCTGTCCTGGGACCTCTGTTGTTTATAATATATATAAATGATTTAGATTCAGGTTTGAGTAGCAACATTTGCAAATTTGCCGATGATACGAAAATCGGTAGGGAAATTAATTCGGAGGAGGACTCACTATCACTTCAAGTTGATCTAGATAGGGTTTTGAAATGGTCAAAGGATTGGCAGATGCAGTTTAATGCTGATAAATGTAAAGTTCTGAGGTTAGGTAATGATGATAGAGTTACAAGATACGAGCTAGATGGTGTTGTGATTGCGAAGTCGGATTGCGAAAGGGATCTGGGAGTTATGATTAGTAAGAATTTAAAACAAAAGGATCAATGCATAAATGTTCGTAATAAGGCAAATCGGACACTTGGATTTATTAATCGCAGCGTTAGTAACAAGACACCTGGTGTGGTTCTCAAGCTATATCTTGCTCTAGTTAGGCCCCATTTAGATTATGCAGTTCAGTTTTGGTCGCCATATTATAGAATGGATATAAATTCACTTGAACGTGTCCAGCGTAGGATGACTAAGTTAATTCCCCAAATTAGAAATCTTTCATATGAAGAAAGATTAACAAAGCTTAAGTTGCATTCACTGGAAAGGCGAAGAGTTAGGGGCGACATGATAGAGGTTTACAAGTGGATGAATGGACATAACCGGGGGGGATATTGGTAGGGTATTAAAAGTATCAACACAGGACAGAACACGAAACAATGGGTATAAATTGGATAAGTTTAGATTTAGGAAAGACTTGGGTAAATACTGGTTCAGTAACAGGGTTGTTGATTTGTGGAACCAATTGCCGCGTAACATTGTGGAGGTGGGGTCCCTCGATTGTTTCAAGCACGGGTTGGACAAGTATATGAGTGGGATTATGAGTTTTTGAAATATGAGTTATGAATTATGAAAGATTATGAGTTTTTGAATGAGAAATATGAGTTTTTGCCCGAAACGCATTGCGTAATAGTGGCTTTAGGCATTGTATGTACTAGCTCTATCTATATATAAATCCATTAATGTAACATCACTTGTATGTATATACCTTACCTGAATAAACATCTGAATCTGAATCTGAATCTGAATCTGGATTGGGTGGTTATAGAATAGGAGCTGCCTCGTATGGGCCAATAGGCCTTCTGCAGTTACCTTTGTTCTTATGTTCTTATGTTCTTATGATACTGGAGATCTGTGGAGGCGCGACTGCACCCTGCGTGACGGGAGATGTCTCCCGTATCAAATGGTGACCAAATGGTGAAAACAATGGACTTCAGCTTTTGTCTATGAGGACGGGCTGCGTTGCGAGTTGAGAATGAACCCGACTATACCACCGAGACCCTCTTAAATTCTACTTATTATGGATTTAAAATCAGATATAGCCTAATATAACTGGTCATGTAACTTATTATTTAGGGACAGTTATCACATATTTCATAGATTTAATTTAAACCTGCTACACACTGCGTCATTCAACAATTGTGATACTAGGTCACTCAACCTTGTAACTTTCATTTTCTGTGTTATACACTCTATAGCCCTTCACCCGTGACGTCAGCTTCGCTGTATAATACAATGATCATTTGATAAATACAATTCTTTGTTAATCTGAGTATTATTTGAAATGTTTGTATACACCACATATGGGTTAAGGCTATTTACGAGGAACAAGGGCGTATATGACGGTCGATTTAATAGCATTTCTAAATATTAATTACTGAATATTTGTTCTCAGTGGGATGCTCTTAGCGGCGTGACTGTTTTATTCACTATTTTTTTATTGTAGCTAATATGCTGAGACATATCGTTGTATTTTGAGGATGGGTCGAGATTTTTTTTTATAAAATGCAAATTCACAATAGTGTTGAGAAGTGCAACAAAACCAGAAAGAAAACAAGAGTTGGCAGCGGAGGCGGCGGCTGGGAGGACAATGTCGGTGTAACAGCCCTGGAAAGGCGGCCGTTTATGCAAAGCCTGGCAACGAGTGTGGGCGTAGTGACCTCTGGCGTGGGCGTGGTGACCTCGGGAGTAAGGACTGGCATAGCTGGCCTGATGAGTCTGGCAGCACAGGGGGCGTCTGACCCCTCGGCCAGCGGGGGGGTCTTCTCTGTCAACTTCAACCAAGACTACTCGTGAGTTTTGCTTCTCTCTTCTTACTTCGTGCCTCTCGCCCCGTGTTCTGGCTCGAACACAACTGTGGGGGTGTGGAGGGTGTTGTGGACGGCAGGTGTGACCTGTGTCTAGCAGCTGTGAATGGCTGGTCACTAAATTTGTGTGTATTGGGGTCATTAGGCTGCTGGTTGTTAGGGGGTTGTAATGTTTTTATGACGGGGAAATGTATACCCGCTGCACCTTGTTTTTTGTAGAGGGTAAAATCGTGGGCATCTTGCTACTTGACATATGTTATTGGTGTTATAAAATGGATTTGAAAGTGGAATTAATACCCCTCATAGAAATGGCGATGGCATGCATTATGAGATAAATATGGACTTATATAATGAGATCACAGTGATGTCTGTAATTGAAGTAATTTTATTTTTCTCTGAAATGTGTTGTCTGGATGTAACACGTCAGCCCATCCTCCTTGTAGAAACGATGAGGACCATAGTACATATACCGATGTAGAACGCAGTTAGAAAGTACTGTGTAAATCGGTACTATTGAATTTGGACAACCCAGAAAAGATTTTCTATTTGATGCAAACAAACTAAAATAACTTAACCTTCCGAGGCCTAATACACGATATTCAAGGCTTAATTTAGTAGATACATGTGCTACATTAGGCCTATGGATATTGAAGTTTAATTTTTAGATAATGGATACTAGCTTCAGGTTTGCTAAAGCTGTGTTTTCTCATTTTTTAAAACAACTCGGCACTAAGACCTAATATTACTTGACATGGGCGCCTGACAGCTGAGTGGACAGCACTTCAGATTTGTAGTTCTGAGGTTCCGGGTTTGATTCCCGGTGAAGGCGGAGACAAATGGGCAAAAAGTTTCTTTCACCCTTATGCTGCTGTTTACCTAGCAGTAAAATAGGTACCTGGGAGTTAGACAGCTGCTACAGGCTGCTTCCTGGAGGTGTGTAACAAAAAGGAGGCCTGGTCGAGGACCGGGCCACAGGGGACACTAAGCCCCGAAATCATCTCGAGATAACCTCGAGATAACGTGGTAGTAGGATATGTCGGGTAGTTTTCGTTGTTTTCATATTGTTTGGTAAAACATTTATTTTTGTCTCAAAGTGATACTAGCATCGCTTGGGGGTTGATATTGGTAGCCATCAATTGCTAAGGTACGATATTAATATTAAAGGCAATGTCTTATCTTTAACATGTGTTGGTGATATTTTGACTTGAAGATAAAAACAGGATTTGGTTTTGAAGGTCGGGCACCAGAAATGGGCTGATTGTGGTTTCATTATCCAGCTCGTCCTCATAAACAAAGGCCAAAGTCCATTCCATGCACCTGCCAAACTCTGTTTATGCATGAAAAATGATTTACACAAGACTCGCAACTGATGATGTCCGAACACTTCCGGAACAAGTGTTTCGCTGCCATTTTTACTCGAACCAGAATACAATAAATGCTTCACCCACATACTACAAATAATCGTCAAGAGAACCTAAACACCTAATCTAACCAATGCCTAAATATGCACAATATGCTAATATATAATATTAATTTATATATATGAGAATTCTTGTTTTGAATGAACAGCATGTTAAAATTGTTGAATGTGTCTTTGGGGTTAACCACTGGATGGAATGGACTTGGTCTGAGGATGTTGCATTATCCAGCCATATTGTTTTTTTTTAACCATAATACGCCTTTCTTGATGTCTATATATTTAGGACCACATATTAGAGTTTAAGGAATACTGTACTGTATATATTTGCCTGAATAAAAAAAAAAATGTTTGATGTTTTCTGATAAAGTTGACAATTAAAAATTTTTCTCGATGTTTTTCATAAGCAGCATGCACATATTCGTAGAAAGCTGAAGTCTATAATATTTTTTCTAATAGTTTTGTATTGGGTATCTTTCATGTTTCAGTACATTATTGGAGTACTGTATATATAGTACAGTATATTCAAAGTTCCTAAAATTTGTTTGGTTTTGTTCTACAGTACACTTGTGCAGGCATCATAGATTTTTACATTGGGAAGGCCAGATACTGGTTTTTCTACCCTGTGCTAAGATATAAGCGAGAATAGAAAATGCATTAATATCTGTTGACAAATTTAAATCTTCTGCTCATCTGCTTATTAAGGGTTTTCCAGCAGATTGTATATTTTTTGTATTGCAGTACTGTATTGGTCTTTCAATATTAAATATTATTCAAAACAATGAATTTATAATTTAGAAATGTCTTTCTTTGCTTGTGCTTTACTTAAATTGTAAAAAACTAATTTTTTGTACATTTTTTCTGTGGCATTTGTAGACCTGTGTGCCTGTGTAGGGTGACCCTTAGCTACACACACACAAAAAAAAAATCAGGTTTGGTGAACAAAAAATTCACTGAATTTTCTTTGACTATAGCAATTGTTGTATTTTCCTGGGAGGGTTCCCCTTGGTTGCTTCCTGTGCTAGCGACCTGCTTTGCTCTAAGCTTAGCATGTTCCACCTGGCCCTTGAGTCATAAGTGCATACTACATTTTTAAGTGTAGACATACAAGTGTAGACTAGAAGCAGAATGTGGTCCACTCCTCAGAGGTAAAATGAACTTGGAGATAAAGTACTGCACAAGATTAACCCAAGCAAAGAAAAAAAAATGCCATCAGAAGGTTAATGTGTGCCTAAGCAAGCAACTTCATTGAGAAACTTGACAACTGTGACAAGTATGATAACCTGACAGCTGCTCCTTGTGCTTCCTGGTCCTTCCTGGCTTTTAAGTGTAGATGAGTGTTTATCATTTAGGACTGTCCTGCTTGGACTTGTTTGTGTCTGCTCCAATTTTTGTGTCACTTCACGTGCATGTGTTCTTCTAGCCTCACTTTGTGTAAGTCTTGAGGCTGCAGCTTTGAGGTGAGCATTCTGTGGTCATATAGGCAGCCCACTTGAACCCCATCCTGTTTTAATGTCCTTTTCGGACTTAGTACAGGTAATAGCAATATACCGTCTTATTTTTCCATTATATTGTGTTGAACCTGGCAGTAAAGGGTAAATTAAAATTTTCTGGTATTTTTCAGATCCCTTGGAGTTGGAACAAAAGTTGGCTACAAATTATTTTCTCTCAACACAGTTGATAAAGCTGAGCAGATATGTGACAATGGTAAGATTTATTTTCCTGATGTTGTAGAATGAGGGGTCTTTAAATACTGTACTATATGTAAATTTTTTTTATTTAAGTCTTGAACTGCTCCAATAATTTCAATCATGGGCTGATTTTATTGAACAAAATTATAATTTCAACCTGTCATATGAAGGGCAACTACCAAGGAAACCTGTCTGTAAAGCGATTTAACCACATCTAGCAAATTTCCAACACCCAAGCCTTGAAGTTTCATTTTCAAAGGGAAAAAAAAGAGCCCATATTTTGCTGAACAAATTCCTCTGCAACTGGAAATAAAAAAAGCAGATAATTTTGTTTTAAATATGCTCAGTGGCTTTCCCAAGGCCCCAACAACATCCTAAGTAACTCCACACGTCCCTTACTTCAGTAAACTCTTGTTGGTCGAATTGTGCGAGTAAATCTGGCAAGGATTGCCAGTGTTCCCACTGGTGATTTGCTGAATCGAGGTTCCACTGTATATGTATGTATATTTATGTAGTAAATACTACATACTAAGTAAGACAAGAACATATCGATGCCAACACAGAAGACAATGTCCAACATAACAGGCCAATTACACTGGATTAATCTTTGTGTTTAGATAGGAGATGCCTCGTATGGGCCAATAAGCCTTCTGCAGCCTCTATGTTTCACCTCACATTTATCCCTTATGTATCCCCCCATGTTTTCACCTTCATTGTATTATCACCTGACCTAATGCGGGTATAAAATCAACTAGTATTGTAAGATCTGTTCACTTGAGAATGAACCATGGAGGTTCGAAACGTCGTGCAAATTATACAAATAAGTGTAATACACTCTATAGTAAATCACTTCTTTTCTTCACCTTAAAAGTACGAAAATGAGTTTTGGAGAACTCCTATTTCAATTAAGCCCTGATGCTAAGAAAATAGTTAGAGGGATAGAAGCCCTAAACCAGAAAATAATAAATACAGAATATGCGGTCATATTCAATGAAACATGTTTGAAAGAAAACCTGCTGCCAGTATACACCAATTTATGTAGTAAATATACATATACTGTAGATGTGTGTATACAGAATATTTATACAGTACACACATATATCTATGTATGTACGTTTTCAAAGTTATTCATAATGACCACCACTGTTGACATGTCGGTACAACATGTTAGGAAAGCTAAATAAACAATTAAAATATATTAAACAAAATTGAATTCTCTGGGCCACTACAGCTAAACCATGATGGATATAGACTTGGATTTTCATGCTTCCTGGATACTAATTAACAATGTAAAAATAAAAAAAATAAACCTTATTTTCCAGAGCCAATTTTTTTTATGTGTATGTCAAAGCTGGTACATAAGTAGCATACATGGGTTAAGCACTGCACTTTAGTATGCATTATTTTTGATCATGTAAAGTATTAGAATATAATGGAGTTGAGATTATTAACGTTTTTAATTCTGGTCAATCCTTCATCCATTACATTCGAGGGTGGGAAACTTCTGCAGGTCATGGACCAGGGAATTGGTCACTGGCTGACCAACTTAACAATCCTGCTGATAACAAAGACTGAGTGTGCTCATATAATCTGGGAGTTTTTTTTTTTTTTTTTTTTTTAACCCTTTGCATCCATTGGTAGTCGAAATTCAATACTGGCAATTTCTCTGGCAGATACAAGACGGTTGAATTTTGCTGAGTCCGCAGCCATGTTGGGATTCCCTCGAATAAATTAGGTTTACAGTCAATTAAAGTAACAAGGAAGTAACAAGAGGAACAAGGGAGCCTGACTGCTAAAAACTGTGTACACTGTTCAGATATCAATGAACACAGTGCTGTCTATGATGTTTACAGCACTAGGCAGGCAGTATTAGGCATGCCCCACCTTCTCAATATAATTGAGAAGGTGGGGCATGCCAAAACTATCGGTAGATTCAAAGTGTTATGACAAAGCTTGTATTGATGGTGCACCATGAATTTAGCTCTCTTCTTGTTACTACAATTAAGTAATTGCACTTGGGTATTCCCCCCTCCCTCCCTATGTATGCAAGGCAAGAACACAAACCATGCTATATGGTCACCCATTTCTGGTGAGACAAGCTGTGTTTCGAAGCTGTAGGCTTGCTAACAGATGCAGTGAAGATCACACGTCGGATGAGAACTTGTCCTTCACTGTTAGTGGGAAAAGGATGGTGAAGTAAGCTGTAAGGAATAGGGCTAGAAATAGTAAAATACTCGAATTACTAAAATGTAGTAAAATACTCTTAATTTCTCTAGTCAGGGGTACTCCCAAGTAAGTGTAACCAGAGCTTGCAGCAGTTGACTCTTGCAGGGTATTTCTAAGGCTGGAAAGTTGTTGAGATGTTGCAACAGCAAATATCCTTTGGCCACAGCACAGTTTGCCACAGATGTCCAGGTCAGGCATAGAATGTAGAATGAATGGCTTTGGGAAAGGAGCAGGTTCTCAAGTGGTAGATGGTAGGTGGTAAATAGTTAAATCCAATGATTGGTTCTGTTAAACACACAGATTACTGGATGCTTAAGAACTTTTCTGAGAATCACTTGCTAACTGTTTATTGATATTGAATTTAAAATTCACTCGGTGCCACTTTAAACTTGGAAGCTTCTCGTGTATAAGCTACTTGGGAAGAGAACCTGTAATTTCCACGTACTGTAGTACAATTATCTTTTCTCAATACAATACTTGTGTACCAGAAGCATCTTATTTCTTATTTTTCTTTTTGCAAAAGTAAATGAAGACACGTGCATCGTAGAACGACTCTTCTCAAGTAGTTTGGTGGCAGTAGTCAGTTTATCTTCGCCAAGAAAGCTAAAAGTCTGTCACTTCAAGAAAAATTCTGAAATATGTAACTACAGTTATCCCAACACCATCTTGGCTGTCAAGCTGAACCGTGCAGTGAGTACAGTATATCTGTTGTTGTTATTATTCCTAGACACATCACTTGCATATTTATAAACTCTGGAAAGACATCCTCAATAGACTCCTTTTCAGTCGTGTATATGAACAACCGCATTTGAGAATTATTCTTGATGAATATTCTAGTGATGTCTGGCAAATGTGAGTAATTCTGTGTATAAGTGAATCATGCTCCAGTTGCCTCTTAGTCATCTAAAATTTGAATGTTTGCTAGGAGATTCCCATCTTGGTGTCAGAAGCCTGTATATCAAATTTATATTGAATGTAAAGCTTAGTTTCATTTTTTGTGCACTCATATGACTTCTTAATTCTTTATTACTACCACTTTGGTGTAAAGCAGGCTAAAACATTGTACAGTATTTAGGAGTTTGTGTGTAAAGGAGTTGTATCATAACCATTTTGTAATTACTAAGTGCAGTTACAGGATGAGAGCTACGCTCCTGGTGTCCTGTCTTTTTGGTACTCTGTCATGTCACTTTGAAACTACTGACAATTTTGGCCTCCACTACCACCTCACTTGTTCAAACAATCTATCACTCTGTTCGCAAAAGTGAACTTTCTGATGTGTTTTCGGCACCTGTGTCTCTTGGCTTGTATCTGTGACCTCGTGTTCTTGAAGTTGCTGGTTTCAGGAATTCCTCTTTATCAATTTGATCAATTCCTGTTATTTTATAAGTGATCATATCTCCTCTTTTTCTTCTATCTTCTAACTTGGGCGTATGTAATGCCTCTTGCCTCTCTTCATAATTGTTTTTTTAAACTCTGAAAACTGTTTTGTAGCATGCCTTTGCATCTTTTCCAGTTTATTGATGTGCTGCTTGAGATATGGGCACCACACCATATGGGCACGTGTTGTGTGTTGGGGGGGGAGATGGTGTTGTGGTGCAGGGTGTGCCTAGTTGTATGGTGACTATCTTAATTACTTGTGTAATTGTCCTAGTTTAGTTACAGGATGAGAGCTACACTCGTGTCCCAGTTCTATTCAAAGCTTGTCATAAGTTTTGGGGCTTATGATGGGTTTTGTCATTCAATTTATTCCATCCATCTACCACTCTGCAAAAGAGGTTACAAAATTTTGTTTGGCACTTCTATCCCAAGAAGAACTTGTAGTCATACCTTAAAGATTATTGTTGACATAACAACAACAAAGTACACAGTAGAAACGTCTGGACATGGCGACAAGAAGTCTCGGTAGACAGTGAGAACTCGCACTTATGGGTGCTAACAGGAGCCAGATCAGGTCAGATCAACTTGTGATTACCAATCTAAATAATGACATCACAGGACCTTGCTCAGACAGCCCCCAACAGTTGTGTTAAAAGATGGAAGCAAAGAGAGTAGAGTTTAGAGTGAGGGTCAAGTGTGGTTGTGTGTGGGGTGCACAGACCTCTTGAATGTGGAACGTCAATTAACTTAGGCTGGGTGAAATTCACCGTGATCATAAGAACTATTCTTTTTTCCCTCCTTGTCGCACACATCATTGGGGGAAATGCTATTACTTCACATAAATAGCATTCTGCTTGCCTCAAATAGGAAACCATAGGTAGGATTCCTCATTTAAGTAAATAATGTTTTAATGTTCGAACCTGTGTGTATTAATTGTACCTGTACGATGTACAAGTGGGCTGACCTTCCTGTGACCTCTGGACCTAGTGTCCCTAATTATCTTTTATTACTCCCTGAGCAAATCTAGGTTAATGAATCATTACATAAAATCCATTTTCTCTTGCCTCGTTCCCAGTCCATGAGCCAGAACATTTTGTGGTGGTGGCAGCTTTGTAGATGGTAGCAGCACTCACTCATTCTTTCTCCCCCTCATTTCATCCCTTCCTCTTTCTCTTTTACTTGCTTTCTCTTGCTCATTCTCTATTTCCTCTTCTCCTCCTAATTTGCTCTCTCCTGCTTTCCCCCATCCCACTTTCTCTCTCTATTCCTTGTGGTTACCTTGTGATGATTTCGGGGCTCAACATCTCCGCAGCATCGAGTCGCGGGGGACGGATCTCAGTCCCCCATATTCTCTAGCATCTCCCACAATATTTTCTCATTCTCTTCCCATCCCTCCCCCCTCCCCTCTCTTGCTGCAAAACTTGCTACATGTAACATCTGGTCATCTATTTATCATAATAGCATTCTGTTAAGCAGTTATGATGGTGACTGATACATAATTTGTTATGGTGGTAATTTCAATTGTTGGGTTTATATCCAGTCATTATACATATTGGTTTTATGCCATAAAATCTCATTGTACTTAATTTTCTCCATTAATTTACATTCTAAATATATCGTACTTGTGCTGTGTTTTTTCAGAATATTTTGTTTAGTACATTTTAAGGTACTAAACAAAAGGTACATTTTCAGTGAAGTAGATTAATGTCAAAGTAAAAAACCCTCAAATCTCTAGTTGATAATTACTGCCGTGTAGCAATACAAAATTGTTTTAACCACATGTTATTGTCAAATTAAAAGTTCATATATACTGTTATAAGTGTGAAAAAATCTGGGATGCAATTGATGTTCAAATGTTAATAATTCAGTTTTTCTTTATTAACAGAGATTGGTCGTGTGCTTAGAAGAGTCGTTATACATCCACAATATCCGGGACATGAAAGTCCTCCACACAATCAGAGATACTCCACCTAATCCTATGGGTCTGTGTGCTCTCTCCATCAGTAATGACAACTGCTACCTGGCCTACCCAGGTTCCAATACAATAGGTCAAGTACAGATCTTTGACGCTCAAAATTTGGTAAGAATTTCATTGTTGCGTAATTTTTCATTTTTTTTTAATGGTAGATAAAACGATCATCCATGATTTTGCATTTTTGAAGGATGGTGAGATAGTACTTGGCTGAAAATAAATATACCAACCCACACTTGAATGAGCAAAAATGTTGTCACTTTCCAATCTGATTTCTCTTACTTTTATAGAAGCTTTTCTTCTGAAGAATAATACAGTTTAACCTTAATTCAGCAAACCTCCGGTTGCAACACTCACTTTCATGACAAATTTATTCACCTGCTTCAAGTGTTTGTAGACTTGGGAGATGTGCATACATGTATTTGCTTAGAAAGTATGGCCTGAGCCAACAGACCTGGGGGGAGGGGAAGTTGTTCATCATATGATAGGTTGAAGTTAATATTTCACTGTGAAATTAGCCCATAGAACATGGGAAGTAATATGGTTCCAATCACATTTTTAATGATTTTCATAGATGGACGTGACATTAGAAAAAAGAAACAGGTGATGCATTTTACCTTGTCTTAAAGTTACATCTCTCAAATGCCTCTGAAGGCATCTGTGGTTGCAACAAATCTCTTGCTCCAATGAATCGTGGGTGGTCCCATGTACAGCACTGTACTGTAGTTTGTTGAATTGAGGTTGCACATGAGGCATGCACATCATGATGTGAGGTATGCACATCAAAATTAATAACTTTACACCAAATTTGTTTCACTTGATAATAAAAACCATTTCTCCTTGTCACAATCATGATAGCTTGCACAATGATAAATACTAGCAAAAATAGCACTAGCACCATGATCAATACAAACCATAAATTCAGTCTTCCCATTTTGTTATCCAAATTTTTTTTTATTTTTGAGCCAAGGTGAATACTCTTTTCCGGGAAGTCCCCCCCCTCCTCCCCCCATAAAAAGGTATTTCATAACATTTAATGCTTAATTTGTTTTCATTTAGGAGTGACTTGTTTCAACAATGCAACACCTGGAGAGATTAAACGATGTCTAGAGCCTTGTTGAAACCCTGTCTAAAGTGTCGTGGGTCAGTGTGAAAATGTGAACTTAAAGGTGGTCTTTTAATTTCAAGATTCAGACAAATTTATGAATTTTAGTTTACTGTATTCTTTGTTTTCTTTTTGTATTAATATACGATTCAAAATTGAATAACTAAATTTTTTATTCAATTAAAAGGAGATATGTATTTTTTAGTAATGCAAATCTACATTTTTGTTTTGTTTTGCAGCAAGCAAAAACAATGATTCCAGCGCATGACAGTCCACTAGCTGCCATTGCCTTCAATGCTTCGGGTACTAAGGTAGGAGTTTTCTGATCATGTGAATTACATATCATTTGAAATATCTAGCTAGTTATATAGTTTGTTGTAGCACTTTAATGGCAGAAATACATGATTAGAATTGTTTAATCATAGATTACAGTATTGCAGTTTGTTTGCGTATTGACTTGCGTTTGTATGTGTATCAATCATTTTCTTTCTTGCTGACAGATTGCTACCGCTTCTGAAAAGGGCACAGTGATTAGAGTGTTTAGTGTTGCAGATGGACTCAGACTACACGAATTGAGGCGTGGAATGAAACGATGTGCCACTATTTTCTCTTTGGCCTTTTCTCCAGATTCTCTCTTCCTTATTGCATCATCCAACACAGAGACGGTTCATGTGTTTAAGCTAGAAGAAATTAAAGACACGTAAGTTAATTGTAGGGATATTGTTAGAAAACTGTGTGCTTTTGCCCTTGATATTGTTTGGTCAAACAGTACTTTTAAATATAGTTGTCTGCATTTTTTGAGGGCAGATTCCTTAGTGGCCCTAGAGCATAATGGCTAGCACTCAGGACAACCCAATCTACTAGGCAAGTAGACAGTTTTGGCCTACCAGGAGCATGGATCTTACTCTTGCATTCCCCGCTCCTGGATGCTGGATATCATGGGAGGATTGGAGATCAACCCACAAATGAGAACAATCTCCATTAAAGCTGGATCAGCATGAACTAAAAATGCTGTAGAAAATAGTTTACCAGTCATCAAACAAAAATCTGAACCATATCAATACACCATCCTGCTGATTTTCCCGATCACCACCACCACCACATGGGAGTGCTTGCCATTAAGGGCTTCAGTGATGTCTACTGCCTCATATTATAGCATTGCACTTCCTTTCCAGTGCCTTGCAGAGATCATTTTTTTGTCCAGTGAGGGTGTTCTTATGTTTAATGGCATGCCCGTGTGAGTGATTGATAGCCGCCTTGCATATCTCTGACCACTTGTTCTTCAGCTTGTTATAGAGCTCTTCCTTGATGCAGTTAATTGCTAGAGTTACTTTCTCAGTTATGGGAGGATTTCTTGTAAGATCTTTGCCTTTTCCAAATAGGACTTTGGGGCTTTGTCACTGGAGGGATATAGCCATTGAGGGGAGTCACATAGCTAGATTATAACTAAGCACAGTAGGGTGTGCATGATTTAGTCTCGGTACTCGGTATGTGTCGGAATTTTGCAAGGGTAACTGAGGGTGTGCTTGGTGAGTGGAAACCTATAATTTTTGTTAGTTCTGTTGTGCCTTTTCTCACTCCTGGTGGATGGGATTGTGTTTGGTAGACTTGTGCACCTGGCTTTTTGGTTGACATTTGGTTTGGAATTTTTGCAACTTGCAGCAAGGAGGTAGTTTATCTCATGTCCTCAAAAGCAGGATAGTGTCAGAAGGATCAACTGAGTGAAAAGGTCAGACAGTTTTTTTTTTTTTTTTTTTTATACTCAAAGCCCCTAATTTTTGCACAATTTAGATGGAATATTTATTATTAAAAAATATGAGGGGGAATATTAACTTATGCTGCAATTCAGATTTTTAAGAATATGGGTAACTACTATAAATAATTAAGAATGTTAAACTTCAGCTTCTGTAGCAAAAACTGTCTCATAAATATATCTTTTACAACAGGCAACGTGTTGTAGTGGAGGAGCAGCAAGGTTTGATGGGCTGGATGAGCAAAGCTGTGACTGCTTCGGCTAGCTACTTGCCTGCTCCAGTGACTGACATGCTTAGTCAGGGCCGAGCATTTGCCACAATCACACTGCCATTCCAGGGTGTCCGTAATATCTGTGCCATTGCCACGTTAGTATCTGCTTGTGATGTTTATAGTTTGAACAAATATACAGAGCTTCCATGCCTGTCTACACCATCACCACACTGCCTATCCCTCACATAGCCCACCACACCATCACTGTATGCCCCAGTTCCTATTGATTCCCACCCTCAATTAGGGTGGGAATCAATAGTGTGGGGTAATTAAGTCACCCTACTTAATTACCCCACACCCCCGATCCCATCCCCCAGACTTCCCTTCTATACACGTACTATACACGTTTGCCCCTCCCATACCCCCCCTAATCACAACACATCTCTCCACTCCCAACCCAACCCACATTACATGCTAACCTCCTACAGCACCTTGGCTGCATGCTAACTTACACCTGCTTTAGACTCTGTTGTCCACACCCCACCCCCACTACATGCCCGCATGTCGTCAAGCTCAAAGAATAACATGTAGACAAACTAAAAAGGTACTAAGCAAAAATTGAGAGTGAAATGGAAAGCAAAATGAACAGTTAATAGCAGAAGCTGAAGATTGAAGATACTGTACATTACTGGGAAGTGCTATTTGCAAAATATTGTACTGGAAAGAGAGAGCATGAAAACAGAGAAGCTGGAGTAGGTCATGGAAAAATGATTGGGGGGTGGGGGGGATATTGAACTCTGCATAGCAACTACAAGAGAAATGCAGTATGAGAGAGGAGAATTTCAGTAGAGAGGAGAATGTGCATTAGCTGCATGCCAAGTAAAAGACGGCTAAGGAAGTAATAGTGTCTGCAGAGGAGAAAGTTGAGTAGTTTGTGACAGCAATGGGAAAAAGACCCGCATAATTTTCAAAAACAGTTGAAGCCTCATTGGGAATGCAGGTCATTAAATCAAGTGATAACAGTTGGAAAAAACCTAGGCCATAAAATGCACTATGCAGGAGTTGAAGAACCAGAGGGAGACATGTGGTAAGAGAAAAGAGGGAGACTAAAAAAAAAAAAAAAAAGCTTACCAAATTACTTGACAAAACTAGGTAGAATAAGGGAGGTTTTGAAGTGGTGGCAGAAAAGAAGAAATTGAAATGGAGGGATATGTCACAAGTTATTCGTTAACCATGGCATTTAAAAGAATAGGAAGGAAGCAAAGTAAATAATTAAAGAAGAGTACTGAAAATGCAGCACGACCAGGATACAAGACTAAAGAAGCTCGAGCTAAACTGTTAAGTCGGGCAACAGAGCTTCTGGCATAGCAAAATAGTGGATCTGCCATGCTTCTCACATACAGTGTAGTACATCCAATGGAGTTTGAGGCAGTGATTAGCTCAATGTCAACTCCTACCTGCCATATTGGACTTAAAATGATTGGCATCCCAACCCCCAACTTTTTCAAAACCAAGGCAGCTCAGTAGATAAAGGTAGCATTAAAGTTTGATCATGAATACAGGTGGAATTATGAACAATAGGATAGAGCCACAAGAAGAGTAAGAAGAGTGTGAGCAGTGTGGTGGAACTGTAGCCACATGTTGCAATAATGGATTTGAAACTGACAAGTGGATTTTAATAGTGAATGTGATCATCCCAGGAGGATACCAGTTAATAAGAAAGGTGGTGGGGGTGGTGGGTTAACTGTAACCCTACTGCTACATCGTCCTCATCGGTGCTGTATCACTTGCATCCGACCTTGTGTTAGGTCCTTATTGTGCCTAGCTTCATAAATATCGTGACCCTTATGTTCATCAAACAATAAGGTTTGAATTTCACCGACAGCGATCTTTCAACACCGCGTCGGATAGGGGGTTTGGAGCCAGAGGCGAGTGTCCCACCCATGGTTGCTCACTCGGTATTAACCCAGTCAGCAACCCTAGGACATTCTGGGAATTTTTTCAAAGATGGCTGTCTCTCACTGGAGGTCCCAAGAGTCCATTTTGTACACAACCTACCATGCACACGTTTTGAATGGGTATGAAATATTCAAAAGGTGTTTTCTCAGTTGGCGTAGCACAGTAGTTAACACCCCCGCCAGCACTAAACACCAGAAGGCCAAAACATAATGCTAAATTTAATAAACCTGATTGAAGGTAATTGAAAAGACAGTCACAGTAGCAAGAGCTAAGATTGTAATACTTGTGGATATTAAACGCAGGGATATAGGCTGAATGACGTGTGAAAAGCAGGACAATCGCCTCTTGAAACAATGACATGATCATCATGGAGCCAATGAGAGGGTGCATTTTTACTGAAAATGAATCGGAGGAGATCAAATAAGATACCCATATGAATCGGTGGCTACACTGTGTTTGATTGCATAGTACTGTACAGTTGAAGGAGTGGGTCAGGTTAAGTAAAAAAAATTGAGAATTGAGAGACCACAGATCTCTCGAGAGTAAAGTCCTACCTTAAGGAAGTTTGACAGAAGAATAAACTGGTAGGGGAAAGATAACAGATGATGTGTTGGACTGTGTAGCCTAGAACTGTGAAGATGTCACTAAACTGCTCATCCCACACAGAAAGGAAATTGACAAGATTAGTAAGAAATGGCCACAGTTTAAAATAGAGTGCAGGGAAGAAGATTGGATTGTCAAGGATTGGGTAAAGTATAGATAACTGGACATGGAGATCAGTGGGAAGTGCTGAAGAGAGCCTGAAATAAATGCATCAGTCGGGAGAGTAGCAGATCAGGGATTTGATTGTTGTAAAGGCAAAAGCTATTGCATAGCCATATATGGCAGAAAACTACATTAAGGGCTTGTATGATTAACCGAGTATATATGGGAGCATCCTCACTTGAAGTGTTGAAAGATTTATGCGAGAAATTTGACTATGTTCCAAGTGTCAAAAATTTAACCTGAAGAGGTAAAAAGATATCTGGAGGAAACTATGCAGATAAAAATTGGCAGTACCTGACCATTCATCACCATGCCTGCTGAAGAAGGCTGTGTGGATACTATGTTATTCACTGACAAGTGTTTTGAATAAAATATGAGCCAGGAGAGCCCCCAGAAATCTGGAATAAGGCAAATATTCTAATATACTGTAGTATTAAATTTTTGTGACAGGCAGCATTAAACTATAGAAGTCACTGACATGTGGTCCGGTTGCAATCATAAAACATATCGTCTTCAATGGAAGTAATTTTCAATAGATTACCAGTATGTGGTTTTGTATTTACCTCATTTTCAGTATACAGTGTACTGTAATTTATTATTCCAGAAGCAAGTAGATATTAGATACAATTTATATTTAGTTAATTATATGTTAATATATACATGTACTGTATTCTATACTGTACTGTGTTTGTTTTCAGGATTCAAAAGCAGCCACGAGTTGTGGTGGCATCAACAGATGGATACTTGTACATATATAATCTCAATACTAATGAGGGTGGAGACTGCACACTTCTTAAACAACATAGGTAAGAAAAACATTAATTTAGTGCTTTAATTTGTTTTCCCTGAGGCATTTACCTCAAGGGTCTTTCCATGCCAAAAATCTCGATAGTGGACGTTTTTGACCCAGCTATCTCGGATTTTCATGAAATTATTAGAATGTTAGAGTACGTGAAATGACTTGCGTATGCAAAATTTTAGCCCTCGGTGATGCAAGATACAGTGACACAGCAGGGTTGTCACAGAAAAAAAAAAAAACATAATTTTTGCTTCTAAGCTCAACAAAACAGTTTTACTTTAAATACTGATTTTTTTTCCAGATGATGTAACCCTTGATCTTGAGTGTATATAAAATGTGTATATGATTAATTTTTGTTGTCAAAGAAGGTTGTATGATAAAATCAGTGCAGTGTACAAAGTTCATTAAAGTCAATGCTGGTTATGATGCTCACTGCGCAAAGCAGACATTCATAGCACACAGCCACAGTTTGGTGTGTGTGTAATTACCTAAGTGTAATTACCTAAGTGTAGTTACAGGATGAGAGCTACGCTCGTGGTGTCCCGTCTTCCCAGCACTCTTTGTCATATAACGCTTTGAAACTACTGACGGTCTTGGCCTCCACCACCTTCTCACTTAACTTGTTCCAACCGTCTACCACTCTATTTGCGAAGGTGAATTTTCTTATATTTCTTCGGCATCTGTGTTTAGCTAGTTTAAATCTATGGCCTCTTGTTCTTGAAGTTCCAGGTCTCAGGAAGTCTTCCCTGTCGATTTTATCAATTCCTGTTACTATTTTGTACGTAGTGATCATATCACCTCTTTTTCTTCTGTCTTCTAGTTTTGGCATATTTAATGCTTCTAACCTCTCCTCGTAGCTCTTGCCCTTCAGTTCTGGGAGCCACTTAGTAGCATGTCTTTGCACCTTTTCCAGTTTGTTGATGTGCTTCTTAAGATATGGGCACCACACAACAGCTGCATATTCTAGCTTTGGCCTAACAAAAGTCATGAACAATTTCTTTAGTATATCGCCATCCATGTATTTAAATGCAATTCTGAAGTTAGAAAGCATTGCATAGGCTCCTTGCACAATATTCTTAATGTGGTCCTCAGGTGATAGTTTTCTATCTAGAACCACTCCTAGATCTCTTTCTTTATCAGAATTCTTTAAAGATTTCTCACATAATATATAGGTTGTGTGGGGTCTATGTTCTCCTATTCCACATTCCATAACATGACATTTATTAACATTAAATTCCATTTGCCAAGTGGTGCTCCATATACTTATTTTGTCCAGGTCTTCTTGAAGGGCATGACAATCATCTAAATTTCTTATCCTTCCTATTATCTTAGCATCATCAGCAAACATGTTCATATAATTCTGTATACCAACTGGTAGATCATTTATGTACACAATAAACATCACTGGTGCAAGAACTGAACCCTGTGGTACTCCACTTGTGACATTTCTCCATTCCGATACATTGCCTCTGATTACTGCCCTCATTTTTCTATCAGTCAGAAAATTTTTCATCCATGATAGAAGCTTACCTGTCACCCCTCCAATATTTTCCAGTTTCCAGAACAACCTCTTATGTGGAACTCTGTCGAAAGCCTTTTTTAGGTCCAGATAGATGCAGTCAACCCAGCCATCTCTTTCCTGTAATATCTCTGTGGCCCGATCATAGAAACTGAGTAAATTCGATACATAGGATCTTCCTGATCGAAAACCATACTGTCTGTCTGATATTATATCATTTCTCTCCAGGTGTTTTACCCATTTAGTTTTGATTAGCTTTTCCAATACTTTCACTATTACACTTGTCAATGATACAGGTCTATAATTGAGGGGGTCTTCTCTGCTGCCACTTTTGTAGATTGGAACTATGTTAGCCTGTTTCCACACGTCTGCTACGATTCCTGTACACAGGGATGCCTGAAAGATCAGGTGAAGTGGAATGCTGAGCTCAGATGCACATTCTTTCAGAACCCATGGTGAAACGCCATCTGGGCCAGCTGCTTTGTTCCTCCCGAGCTCCTTTAGCATATTTTCCACTTCATCTCTAGACACCTCTATCCGCTCTATGTTGTTCTCTGGAATTCTTATTGTGTCTGGTTCTCTGAAGATTTCATTTTGTACAAACACACTTTGGAACTTTTCATTTAATGTTTCACACATTTCCTTTTCATTTTCCGTGAATCTGTTTCCCATTTCCAACCTCTGGATATTATCCTTTACCTGCAATTTGTTGTTTATGAATTTGTAGAATAGGCCCGGTTCTGTTTTACATTTATCTGCTATCCCTTTTTCAAAATTTCTTTCTGCCTCTCTCCTTACTGCTGTATAATTGTTTCTCGCATCTTTGTATCGCTGGTATGTTTGGGGGTTTGGCCTCTTCCTTTACTGATTCCATTTTTGTGTCTTTTGGTCTCTTGCCCTCTCACAATTTCTGTCGAACCAATCCTGTTTTCTGGTCCTGCATCTCTGTTTTGGTATGAATGTTTGTGTGCCTTCCTCGTATAGTTTTAAAAATTTGGCATACATTTCATTTACTTCCCTGCCTAGCAACAATTCTGTCCAATTACACTCATTAAAAAAATTTCGAAGTTCCCCATAGTTGCCTCTCTTTAAATCGAGTTTATCAACTGTTTCAATGTCCCCATTTTCTTCTAGATGATATCTTAAAGCATATTTAATGTCTAACAGGACGTGATCACTCTTTCCCAAGGGAGGAAGGTACTGGATGTCAAAAATCTCTTCTTCTTTCCTGGTGAATACTAGATCCAGTACTGACGGTATATCTCCTTCCCTCATTCTTGTGGCTTGCTTTATGTGTTGATACAAGAATGTCTCCAGAATGAGGTTCACAAATCTGCATGTCCAAAAGTCCTCCGTTCTTGCTTCATAGGCCTCCCAGTCTATTGCTCTAAAGTTGAAGTCCCCCAGTATCAACAGTCGTGATTTATCTTTATCTGCTTGTACAATAATATCTCTCATGACCATTATGAGGCCCTCTCGTTTGTCATCCAGTTCTTCCTTTGTCCACGTGTTGCTTGCTGGTGGGCTGTAGGCATTTACAATTATCAGGTTATCATCCTGATTCCAGACCTGCAATGCCATTATGTCAATATCTCGAGGGTTTTCAAATATTAACTCTTTTACCTTCAGGTGTTTTTTCACCAGTACAGCCACTCCTCCTCCCTTCCTAGTTTTCCTGTCACGTCTCCAAACTGAGTAGCCTCTTGGGAATATGACTTCATTTATTATATTTCCTTCAAGTTTCGTTTCTGATAATGCAACAATATCTGGGACCCTAAGCTGGATTATATCTTGCAACTCCAAAGTTTTTGACCTCACTCCATCTATGTTGGTATATACAATTTTCAGGAACATGTTCCCTTTTCCTTTGCTCTTTACTCCCCCTTCCACTACTGATCTTGTTGCTTTGTTTTTATGTACCATTTCACAAGCTTTCCAGTCCCTGTCACTTTGTAAAAAAAAGAATTTCTGTCTTCTTCATTTCTATCCCCAGTGTGTGTGTGTGTGTGTGTGTGTGTGTGTGTGTGTGTTAATTATGAAACCGGATCTCGTGTTCTATTAGAAAATACATGTGAGGAAAATTATTTATATTCGGGATCTAATGACCAGGATTCGGATGATAATAACAATGTTGTGGCTAGAATTTGGGTTGTGTGTAGTATATTGGGAAGTGTTTTTCTGGTGTCTGCAGCTGACAAGCATGTGGTACTGTGCTGAGATTACCACTCACGAGAGCTGCTTAGTGGTTCTTTAACCCGTGTGTTGCTAAGGGCTATTTGGCCATTGTCACCCACAGGTGCATAAAAAAAAAAAATCTTCTAACCCTGTTAATTTGTGTTCCCTGATCACAGAAAAAATAATAATAAAAAATAATAAGTGCATATTTTGCTCGCTATAGGGCGGGGAAGTCTGGCAAAAAAAAAAAGAGGCGCTGACTCAGTATGTATCCGAGGCGGTCTGCTCAGCCCCAACTGTCAGGCAGGAGTGGCCACAAAGAGATAATTACCTAATTATTTCAATGTCTCTGATTGATTTTTCTTCATTTTGTGTTGTAATATTATTCAATAGTGTGTAGTGTGATATATTTATATTCAGCTTGTGACCACAGCATCACCTAAAAATGTCAAAATATATATGTACATGCTATTATTTAGAGATGATAGTATTACAGAAGACCCCTGACTGTGATAAAAAATGTCCAGGATTTTGATAATAGCAGGATTGTTGTGATAATTAGCACTGTAGTGGTAGGAGTAATCTTGGTGGGGAGGAACTCCACTATACCAGCTTAGTGGTTCGCTGTGGTGAACAAAACATACAGATACTTATATATAACATCTGTATATAGTGAATAAAAGCACAGAACAGTATGGTGGGAAGAGAATGTTGGTGAGTCAGGTGAGGTGAGGGAGGGAGTGGCAACCAGTGGTGGGCTAGCTGGTGTGTGGTGGTCACTCCTTGCTGCTGCAGGCGATGAGTCACAATAACGTGGCTGAAGTATGTTGACCAGACCACACACTAGAAATTGAAGGGACGACGACGTTTCGGTCCGTCCTGGACCATTCTCAAGTCGATTGTGATGAGGACAGGTAGGGACAGGCATTAAATAGGCAAGAGAGAGCTGAGGAGGAAAGTCAGGTGTAGGGGATAGTAGTAATGAGAACTGCAGCAGGCCTATTGGCCCATACGAGGCAGCTCCTATTATAACCACCGAAGGAGATAGTAATAGGAATAAGAAGAGGATAGCAAGGGAGCGTAGAAGACAATGAACAGAAAAAGGGAGAAGAGAGAAAGAAAGGGAAATAGAAAGAAAGAAATGGAAGGGGGAAAGCTTATGTTAAGTCACGTTTGTTAGAAAGATTAGAGCATTTGAGTATATACTGTGAAAGGGAAGAGTCCACAGCAACAAAGCCAGGACTCAAGTTCATGTTGGGTACATTGTTAATAAGAGCCGATTCTACAAGACGGCGTCTGTGTAGAGTAGAGGCAGGAAAGCTGCTGTTTGACTCAGCATACCAACTTAGTGGTTCCTTATGGTGAACACAAATGTAGATACTTATATATAATGTGTGTATATAGGGTAATAACACAACAAACAGTATACTTGAAGGAGGAATGTTAGTGCGTCTGGCCTTGAACCAGTGAGGGTGGAGGGAAGGAGGGAGCATGAAGTGTGTGTGGCCACCTGTTACTGTCTGTCGTCACTATACAAGACTAGTGGTTTGTTATGGTGAACACAAAGGTAGATACTTACATATAACGTCTGTATATAGCGAATACAAGCAAACACAGTATGGTGGGAGGAGAAATTTGGCGAGTGAGGAGGTTTTGAGGGAGGGAGTGGTGAGGAGTGGCTGGCTGGCAGATGTGGCCACTCATCGTTGCTTTTTGACTCGCATTATCAACTTAATGGTTCGTTATGGTGAACAAAATGTGCAGATACTTACATACAACCTGTGTATATAGGGTAATAACTGTCAAAGTATTTGTTCACTGTTTTATGAACATAATAATTGAATCCATAATATGCACACAATAATTTTGAGTACAGCGATGATTTACACATTTTATTATATAAATATATCACACTACACACTACTGAATAATATTACAGGAAAAAAAGAAGAATAAATAAATTGTAGACATTGAAATAATTAGGTAATTATATCTTTGTGGCAATCCCATGCCTGACAGCTTCGGCGAAGCAGAACTTTCCTGAAGCTTCCTGAGTCAGCGCCTCTTTTTTTGCCAGACTTCCTTGAGCTATTGCGGCCAAAATATGCCACTTAAGATTTTTTATTATTTTTCCCATGTTCAGGGAACACAAATTAACAGGTTAAGGGGGCTTATTACGGGTTTCGTAAAAATTGTTCAATTTGTTTATAAATTTATTTATGAAATGGTTATAGAAAGGGCTGCAACTGGTCCAAGTTTCAGCATCACACCCTAAACAGAAAAGGAGAAAAAAATACACAACATATTATGCAACGAATTTTCAACATTTTCAAATAATTTCATGGAACACATGTGTCAACTAAAATCATTTCTATAACACTCAGATATTAAATTAACACATAATAAAGGATTGTATTGATCAGTTTTATCAAAAAAAGTGTTTAGTGCAATAATATAATTATTCAAAGTTACCCTTCCAAAAATATGCAATATATGATGTTTATAAATTTTTATAAAATCAACAAATGGACTTTGGACTAAAATGTCTCAATAGGTTTGTAGAAGCACAAACTCTACATATAAGGTGTAATTTGCATGTAAATTGATTAATAAATGAAAGCTGAGAAACACCTTGAAGTTGTAAATTACTTTCCAGAGTAAAATAAAGATCCAAGTTCGGCCACCTGTAGCTGAGCTTGACTTCGACAGATTTCGTTCATAATTGGCACCCTTGCAGATAGGCATCCATTGAGCAAGGTGTGCAAGTTTCATGCAAATCCCTTGATAACAAACGAGAAAAAAAAATTGGCAAAAAAAAAAAAAAGAAAAAAAAAAAAAAAAAAAATTTACATATAAATATATTGCACATACATATTACAATTATTACAAGAGTTTGTGCTTCTATAGCACATAGTAGACATTTTAGTTGACACATGTGTTTCCTGAGATTATTTGAGAATGTTGAACATTCGTTGCATAATACGTTGTGTATTTTTTTTCTCCTTTTCTGTTTAGGGTGTGATGGTGAAACTTGGACCAGTTGCAGCCCTTTCTATAACCATTTCATAAAAAAATTTATAAGCAAATTGAACAACTTTTAATTTATACTGATATGCCCCCTTAAGAAGAAGAAAAAATTTTTTTTTTGTTTTGCACCTGTGGGTGACAAAGGCCAAATAGGCCTTAGCAACACAAGGGTTAAAGAGTTAAGGAATGTTGGTTTGATCCCATTGTATAGCCTCAATATTTTCTAATATTCATCATGTTCTTGTGATTTCATTATACATGTACATTCTTTTATTATAGGTTGGATGGAACTGGGGAAGGGAGCAGTTCGAGCAGTGAGAGTGCAGCGGTGCCGGGACCATACCCTGGGGCGGCCAAGAAGACAGAACCTGGTAAGTAGTTAGAATGATATGAACCATATAGAAATTGTTGAAGAGTTTTGTATAATGGTGCATAATGATTAAAAATTGAGCATTAAAGATCATGGTTCATATAGACATTCAATGGGTGCTTACAGTAATGCCTAAGGCTTGCAGTTACTACTGTTAAAACATTCAATTGGACTTTTGGGGAAAATTGGCTTGGTAGGTGATCTTATTTTCTATCTTAGACAATGGAATAAAGATGGAAATGGGGGAATTTCCATGAAGTACAGTACTTAAGATCATTAGCTATACTGCACCAGTCTTTCAAAAGCTGTAACTTCTAGGCTTAGAGGTTACTCTAGGCCAGTGACTGACTCCCTTCCCAGGATGCAACCCCCCAACAGTGGCCTAACTTCTGGTGCCTATTTACTGATGGGTGAACAGAGGCATCAGGTGTAAGGAATTGTGGCCAAATATCTCTTACTTTGAAAGAAAACTGCTCCAGTGGTTGATCCCTCATGCATAGAACTACAGTATTGATTATAGTCTGTCATTAAAAAAAAAAATTGCAAACCCTTGAAGTACACAGTACCATTATTAGGGGATATGTGCATAAATATCAAAGATATTTAAAAAGAAGCAATAGGTTTAAATGTTTGGAATTGCCTGAAGAGATAAAACTATTTGGAAAAAATGTTGCAAAACATGAATTGCCTAAAACATGCATTCAAAATAGTTTCACATTGTAATTCACCATAAGTTGGAAAGTTGCCCATATATATGATTTCAAAGTACAGTAATGACAACCTTATAGTATGAGCATATTTTGTGAATAAAATTATGCTTTGATTAAAGGTGCTAATTTTCCATATGTAATGAAACCTATGGAGCACTGTAGGGTAATCCAATGTCAGCAGGTGCAACCTGTCCTCACACTAGGCTGTTTAAAGTAGCGGCCGTCCTCCTCAGACGCTTTCATTAATGTTAACATGCAGTACTGTGTATTAAAAATTGGTTTCTCATATATAAATTAATATTATACAAAAAATTCTATGTATAGTTAAGCATAGGTTAAGTTAGGTGTTTAGGTTCTGTTTGCAATTATTTGTATTTGAAGTATGTGGGTGAAGCATTTCAAAATTTCAAATTTCAAATTCAAATGCAAATGTTTATTCAGGTAAAAGTACATACATAGAGGATGAGTACAAAGATAATGTTGGATTTATAAATAGAGCTAATATAAACAATTCATAAAGCTAATATGCACAGCATTTCAGGCAAGGATTTATAGAAGCCTTGCCCGAGCATATATAAAATTGTGGTTCGAATAGAGGACATGAGCGAAGCACTTGTTCTGAAAGTGTTCGGACGTCATCAGTTGTCATGTGTAAACCGTTTTTCATTTATAAACGGGGTTTGGCAGCTGTATTAACAAGCTTGGATCTTTGTATGTGAGGACGGGTTGGCAGGTGACCCCGACACGGGTTTATAGGTTCAAGGATGTCGAGGGACTGTAGGTGACCCCGGCACAGGTTCGTATTGATATCCAAACCACACGCCACAAAATGAAGAAACGACGACGTTTCTTAATTTTCTGGTGCGTGGTTTGGATATCATATCTTCATTCGTGTTATTGTGACCGATTGTCTACACAGGTTTATAGTTCCAAAGATTGGAACTGCAGGTCAGCTGACACTGGTTTATAATGTAGATGAATAGTGCAATACTTTTGAAAATATTAAGATTAGATGGCTATAATAAAAATAGAACATTGATAATTATACTTGTGATAATTATACGTGTGAAACTCCTTTTTAAATAAGTGATTAAACTTCTGTATCTAGTCAGTCACCGATGCCAAGTGGCCAGCACGAAGAAATTCACAAGCGTAAACTTTCTTAAACAAGTTTCCAGAAGCAAGTTTCGAAGTGTAGGTGGTGCATGTGTAGCAGTTAAAACCATTAATTAATATGTGAGGTTTAAGCCCTTTCCTGCTCCTTGTCTTTGATATATGGAGTAGGTTATGCATGCCCTGCTGGCATGCTAGGATTGTCTCGTACAGGGAAGGAAAACTGCAAGCCTTGAGGTGCATCGATTTGATACACTATAGACTGCATACGAGGACAGTATGGTTACACTATAGTATATTGCAAACTATATAGGATCATGGTTATTTGGTGGCTTGTAGTAATTCCTTTATCATCTAGACCAGACTTTTACCTGTGACTAGTAAATTTATAGGCTTCAGTGTTTTCTCATTTTCATACGATTAGTATAGTGTGTACATTTTTTTTTAAATGACTGAAGGTAAGTTATGTGAATAATTTTGAGCCTGTATAAAATAGATAAAGCAATGCATGTAATTTGAAAAGGAGTGAAAGAAAAAAAGAAAGTTGGGGTTAAGATGTATGAAAGATGTTTCAGATTAGGAAGTCACTAATATAATTTGATGTGTAAATCAGATTTTCTGAACTACAGTATAACTGTCCTGGTCTTAAAGTCCATACTGATGGGCCAGCTGATGGGTTTGGGTCTGTACAGTATAGATACCTGTGAATCAACCTTGCCCTCCTCTTGCCATTATGTAAGAGAAGATTGTGACACACAAGAAACGAAAGGTGTGGTACTAAATCAAGAATTGTTACAGTATGCTTGCCAGCCCTCACCTTTGGCAGTGAATTATGGATTGAAATGGGTAAGACTATAATTTAGGTTGTTAAATTGCTTAGGGGTTTATTAATGTGTGGGGAAGGAATGCACATTAAACATTGAGAGAATAGGTCAGGGATGTCAGGTGTGGGGAAGTGTCATTAGGAATACTCGACAGCAATTTGTGATGGCAATTGATTTATTTGCTACATGTTTATATTTAAAAGAATATTTTTCCTTATAAAAATTTCAGTTAAAATACTTTATGCACAAACAAGTGTACTGTCATATGTATTGACATTTTTCCAACCCATCCTCCTCTTTTGAAAGTACTTTTTGTAACTATATGGTCGATCGTAGCAACATGCAGTTATGGAGCCTTAGTAAACCACTTTTGTAATATTTGTTATCGAGTCTGGAAAACAAAAAATACAACCCAAACCTAAACATACCTAGGCCTAGCACTGCGCATATATGTACTATATTAGGCCTCAGATAGCATCTACTTTCTTGTGGTCCAACACTACATTATTGTACTTTTGACCACATAGTTACTAACAGTACAGACCTGTACTTTAATTTTAGAGGAATGGGCTGCATTTTTCATATTGATCCAACTTGGTTGCTCCATAAGGCAAAGTTCTTCCTGATCTCATTGGAAAGGATTATAGACAGCTCAGGCCAATATTCTGCACCAGCACAGCAGGGATCTTCTCAACATCCCTACGAAATGGTCCAGTACTGGTGCTTGGGAGGCACTGAAGAAATAATTGGTCCAGTCCAGAATGACATCTGAAAGGTTCATTCATAATCACTCAAAGCTCTTCTGTACTTGGCATTGCAGGGATCGTCATCATCGTCATCATCGTCATCATCGTCGTCATCATCGTCATCGTCATCATCATTATCATCATCGTCATCATCATCGTCATCATCATCATCATCATCATCATCATCCATCATCATCATCCATCATCATCCATCATCATCATCATCATCATCATCATCATCATCGTCGTCCACCAAGCAATGCTTTCATTAACTGCTAGTTGACCCATCAGACACCCCAGACCACTGCCAGGTAACAGTGCTGACATCAACCAAGGGTTTCCTCAACTTGAATCTCGTATTATTTGTGACTGGTTTCCAGGTCAGTCGAGGCTGGCAGGGTCCAGAATACAATGAAGTGACTTTTTATCATGAGAAACTTGGTTTCACTGAACAGCTGATTTCTGACGCTTAGGAAAGTTTCTTGTGTGGGTTTACAAGTTGTGTGTGTGTGTGTGTGCTGTTTTTTTTTATAACCACTTAACTGCGCCAACCAAGTATTCTCGGTCGGCAGGAAACTGCGCCAACCGAGAAAACTATTTTTGATTTTTTGGTACCAATTCTAAATGTGTACGAGGTTGATTGTGTACAAAATGGACTCTTAGGACCTCCAGTGAAAGGCAGCCATCTTGGAAAAAATTCCCAGAATGCCCTAGGGCTGCTGGCTGGGTTAGAACTGAATGAGCAACCATGGGTGGCACACGCACCTCTGGCTCCCAAACACCTGTCCGACGCGGTGTTGAAATATAACGCTCTGTCGGTGAAATTCAAACCTTGTTTGAAGAACATGAGGTTCGTAATATTGGTGAAGCTAGGCACAATAAGGACCTAACACAAAAGTCTGATGCAAGTGATACAGCACCTATGAGGACGATACAGGGAGCGTATCCAGTTGTAGCTCTGAGCGTCACCCTTGCAATCCTATGCTATCTCCAATTTATTTAGATGATACATAGATGAATCGTTTTCTGCATTCAGTGATGATGCATCTGATACAAGTAGCATAGATGAACAGTGTTAGCGGCTTCCATGGTGGTGTTTTCCATAGATATTTTCAAGAACACCTGAATCTCTTCCTAACTGATGGACACTCTTTGAGGCTAGCTGAATCTCTGTCTGACTGAAGGACACTTTTGAGGCAAGCTGAATCTCTTCCTGTGTGGGACCATACAAAGCGATCTTTTCAAGACTACCTTACAAATTGATCTTTTCCTATAATCTTTTCAATACTACCTTATGCTTTACAAGCTTGGCTACATACAACCTACAAGTACTAAAGCCAAGGGTGTACGTGAGTGCGTTATTTGCAAGCACACAGAATGAAGAAACAGGAAGCAAAAATTTATCTGTACCTGGTGCACTGAGAGCGAAGTCGTGCTGTGTACTATTGGCTACTTCGTTGATTATTACCCGCTTCCGAAGTACTGTGTAATACAGTGTGTTACTGTGTAAATAGTGTGTGAAGCTGTACATATTGTAATTTTAGTGAATTTTTAACAGGTAATATTGCGACAATAAACATTTATTGTGGACACATTACTGACACATGTATCACAGTTCCATGGAACATTATGAACGTTATACTGTATACATATTGTAAAGGACATAAGTATGCATCATATACGATAAAAAACAAAAACAAATAAAACTGCATTGGAAATACATAAAACAAATATTTGAAAATACATTTGTGGCAACACCCGGTGCTTGAATGGCCCGCACGACCGTGTCTGGGTGATTCACGCATGGGCGACCAGGCCCTGATGACGTCACAGTGCACCTTGTCCACGTCCTCACAGCCAAAGTAAGTGGAATTTGGTATTTATTTTTACATAAAACAGACAGCTATACAATGGTATCACAGTTACCATTGTATAGTTATCCATTGTATAGTTATACCATTGCACAGTTATCCATTATATAAAGGAAAACTATGGAACAGAAAGCTATACAAGTTCCAAGGGGTTGTCATAGCCAGGGGGTGGTAATGGGGGACGAGCTCCCATGACCTATAAAATGCTCCTATACGGCATGCATCTCCAATAGCCTCTGACAACCAAGTCCAACTCCTGGCCTGCACGGGTGGCCAGGAGTTGGTCAAGATGTGTTGGACCAACCGGGCTGTGATGGGTATGTGGGCTGAGGGCTGCTGCAAGCAACAGCCTGGTGGACCAAACGCTCACAAGTCAAGTCTGGCCTCGGGCCGGGCTTGGGGAGGAGAAGAACTCCCAGAACACCATCAAGCAGGTCCGTCAGTTAAGAAGAGATTCAGCTATTCTTGAAAATATCTACGAAAAAGACCACCATGGAAGCCGCGAACACTGTTCATGTATGCTACTTGTATCGGATGCATCATCACTGAACGCAGAAAACGATTCATCTATGAATCATCTATATAAATAGGAGATGCCATAGGTGGGCAAGAGTGACGCTCAGAGCTACAACTGGATACGCTCACTGTCTTGCATCCGACCTTTGTGTTAGGTCCTTATTGCGCCTAGCTTCACCAATATCTTGACCCTTATGTTCTTCAAACAATAAGGTCTAAATTTCACCGACAGAGCACAATCTTTCAACACCGTGTCGGACAGGTGTTTGGGAGCCAGAGGTACGTGCGCCACCTATGGTTGCTCACTCAGTACTAACCCAGCCAGAGCCCTAGCCTTTCATATTTGTTATAGTAAAAGGTTCGTTTGGTGTTCAGCAGGTAGGCTGCTCCATGTTTCCCCCTCCCCCCCAAAAAAAAAAATGAAAAGTAAAAGAACCAGTTGAAACAGTTTGAAAAACAGACAAATGCTATAAAGGTTCGTTCAGTGTTTGGTGGGTAGGAGTCTCCATTATGACAATCTTTCTTTGTTTCAAATGGTTTCAATTTGTTTTGTATTTTTCATTTATTTTTCAATAATGGAGCAGCCTATCCGCCAAACACTGAACGAACCTTTATGGCATTTGTCCGTTTTTCAAATTGTTTCAATTTTTTTTCCCCCGAACACCGAACGAACCTTTTTGACATTTGTTCTTTTTTTTTTAAATTTCATTTCTTTTTTTCTACAAAAAAGTCAATGCTTTGCAACATCACAGCAGTCACGCCCTTTACATCCCTGCATACATCATTAGCATCTTTAAAAAAAAATACTTTGTTTGCATCGTCGGAGGCGTCCGAGAATGTGCGAGAAGCAGTGCGACTCCACCATGTGGTGTTGTCATTATTCAAACAAGTGCTCGCCAAACGAGATAAATTGTCGGCGATCGGGGCGCTCGTTACCCAAGATGCTCGTCAATTGAGGCGCTCGTCACTCGAAGTTCTACTGTATTTAATCATGACGTACAAATGTTTTATCATTATCAATCTTAAACCAAAGTGATGAATTCTGCATATCTAGCTTAAATGTTCGTAATAACCTAATGCATGTGTTAAGAAGAAAATTTTTATTTTCTCTAGGATGGGAAAGTGTTGAAATATAGAACCAGATAGTCATGACTTACTGTTTAAATATACAAGTATAGTGACCAAGGAGAGACTAAGAGCTGATAGATTTCTATGCTCTACTTGATGTTTCTCTACATTGCTGCCAAAACTGTGGGCTCTACTTGGTCTAGCTATACAAATAGAAAATACCAACTTAAAAAGCACATTCAGTAAATCCAGTAAGAAGCTGATCTTACGATCAGCTCAAAATTGGTTGAATATTAGAGATGTTTGAGCAACCTGTCCTCTTGCAAAGAATGTTGCATTTTGATCATATGCCTTACATAAGGCCAAAAATCATCGTACTGTACTAGAAAATGGCAGCGGCTCGCGAAAGTGACATACTATCTTGTTTTCTGTTTTGGGGCCTCTGGTAGGTTAGGAGAAGACGCTTTAATTTGACCGTTTTCTTGACGTTGGGAAACCTTAGGAGGACGGGCTGGTTTGAGAACATTCAATTGTGTACAGTACAGGTATTTTTCTGTGTTTGATTTTTAACCTTAACAGCTTGCCCATTACATTTCTAACTGCACATCGGCTAGTCTCTTAACTGATGGGTTTGGGAATAGGAGTGGAGCTAAGTAAACTGTTACCATTGTATTAACTGCTTTAATTTTGAGAAGAACGCATCTTTTCGGAAATTTATCCTGTATCCTATAATCTTGGCTCATAAAATAGACCAGTTTGCTTTTGTTCTATACTGTTCTTTTCAGTTAACAAAATGTAAATACAGTATTGTAAAAAAAATAATTCTTGCAATTCAAGAATGGTGTACCTGGATTTGCTAATACTGTTTATAGGAGTATTTGGTTAGGATGGAAAATTTTATAAATTGCTATGGGTATGTTTAAATATTTCACTAGGCTTCATAGTGACCTACTATGGTTAAGTGTTTAAGTGAAATAATTGACTGGGAGAAAATACTTTGGATTAATATAGGCATGGTGTAATGTGTGATTGGCATAACAAATAATTCAGAACTTAAGATTGATTTAGTTGTATTGAAAGTCACTCAAGTGAGGATTAGTGTTAATTCCCATTAGGACATACAGTATTAGGAATGCTATTCAGGATGCTTATCCCTCCCACTGACCCCCAATGGTCCCTGGCAGTGAACACGACGGGAGGCAGCTATGCGGGAGTGGTGAGGGGGCCTTCTGCTGGAGTCATGACAGGTAGTACAACAGCCAACACACTTCTGTCACGCACCCAGGGTAAATGATCAAATGTCAGCAGGTCGTATTTTGGTTTGAGGGCCTTTGGGAGAATTCTCTTGCAGCTTGTGCTTACTTTTTTGTTTAATCATTTAGTTATTTGTTACACCTGTTTTGGTTTCACTGACAAGGGTGTGTATGCTATTCATAAAAGTTAGCTTATTTGACCTGGTCCAGCTGTATCATTTACCCATCCCATATTGATCGGGCATCGTAGCGCTCCTGATAATGTTAAATCTTCACATTGTTTGTCTAAAGGTTCTTAGTGCTGCTCATATTGTCCAGCAAATTGTTCAGGATGCATGATCTGGACAGCTGAGTATTATGCTGCTTTGTGGCACATTTTCACTAACTTTGAGGGATATTAAGCTTTCCCTTTAATTCTGGACGTTACATTACCGGAATATTAAACGACTAAACTGTCATTTTACTCTACGTATTTGATTTAAAACCAAAGATTTGAGTGTGAGGGGTAAGATTATATTATCAATAGGTGTATTACAATAAACATTTATAGGATTTACTGTAATGCATGGGTGGTATAATTTGATGAAGTTGCAAAACTTATTTGAGCTTAATGAGGCATATTTCAGATACAAAAATATAACCTGCTTCCTTCATGATCGGATCATTTCCTGCTTCTCTCATGGTCAGATCATGGCCCGTCATTTCCTTCATGGTCAGATCATATCCTGTTCCTTCGTGGTCAGATCCATACCCTGCTTCCTTTGTGGTCAGACCCATACCCTGCTTCCTTTGTGGTCAGACCCATACCCTGCTTCCTTTGTGGTCAGACCCATACCCTGCTTCCTTTGTGGTCAGACCCATACCCTGCTTCCTTTGTGGTCAGACCCATACCCTGCTTCCTTTGTGGTCAGACCCATACCCTGCTTCCTTCGTGGTCAGACCCATGCCCTGCTTCCTCCGTGGTCAGATCATGCCCTGCTTCCTCCGTGGTCAGATCATGCCCTGCTTCCTCCGTGGTCAGATCATGCCCTGCTTCTTCCGTGGTCAGATCATGCCCTGCTTCCTCCGTGGTCAGATCATGCCCTGCTTCCTTCGTGGTCAGATCATGCTCTGCTTCCTTCGTGGTCAGATCATGCCCTGCTTCCTCCGTGATCAGATCATGCCCTGCTTCCTTCGTGGTTGGATCATACCCCGTATTATTCGTCGGCGGATCATGCCTCGCTTCCTTCGTGGTTGGATCCTGCCCCGCTTCCTTCGTGGTCGGATCATCTAACGATTGGTGTGTATAAAGATTAAAGGGTTGCATAACATTTTGAATAACAGGAGCATTGGGTGCATGTAAGCAGAATTACATTAGAATGTATGCAGTTAATAAAAATATGAAGGAAACCATAAGTAATTGGGTAATAATACAGTAGTGTGGAGAGCGGTATAGATACAAACAGAGGGTTAGAGTAAAGGGGTGTGTGGTCTAGATGGTCTCTGGAAAGTGTATTGAAGTAATCTGAAGATGTGTTCCATTTAGTGCAATTAATATTACTTTTGTTTAGTATAAAATAATTGTTTCTCGGTAGATTATTAGATGGAATATTTCCACTAGTTATTGCAGTATGTTGTAAAGTATGTTGTGTGTGTTCAGTAGTAGTGGTATGGCTTAGAATTGTATCTATATCATCATAATTTCCCATGTTTCCAGTAGTGGCTATAGTTTTATCTTTTTTTTACCTAGTCCCTAATTCACAATTGAGTTTTGGCTCTCTACTCATTGCACACTTGTTACCATACTCAATACAATAAGTCTTGGTAATGTTTCTCTCCGTTGACCAGACCATATACTAGAAGGTGAAGGGACGACGACGTTTCGAGAATGTCATCGACATTCTCGATATTGACATCGAGTCTCACGATCAACTTGAGAATGGTCCAGGACGGACCGAAACGTCATTGTCCCTTCACCTTCTAGTGTGTGGTCTGGTCAACGTACTTTAGCCACGTTATTGTTTCTCTCCCTGTTCTTTATGCCGTCAACCTCTATTATTGGTGCTTGTAGCTCCTTCCATGTTATTTATATTCTATGTTTTAGAAATCTGCTCTTCATTCCTGGCTTTATTGGCTCAAAGTCCAATTTCAATGGTACTCATAGCTTTGTCATTGGTTCCCATGGTACTAAACTGTGGTACTTCAAGCATAATAATGACACCATATTTTTATGCCTATTATGCATTAGTCTAGTATCAATGGTTCCCCTCCCCCCTGCATTCAGTGTTTGCTCTGCTAATGATTGTGTCTGTGTAACACCCTTGATGTTCACAGTATCATAGCTACCTGTTCCAAGATAGTTAAAAACCACGTCTGATATGTTGAAATGTTAAGTACAGTATATTAATGCCCTGTTGTATTGCTGAATTTGAACACTAAGCATCAGTGTAATAATCATCATAGTATTAAGCTCATTTTTATTATTATTATTATAATTTAATTTCATACTATAATCCCAAGAAAAAGCCTCAGTGGTGGTCGTGTACCCTTATGCACAAGGCCTTCTGTACCCTTCTGTAGATTGTACTTCATCTCAATCAGGTAATGGCAAATACTCTGTGGTTCCTTTAGGGAACTTTTAGGGATTAGGGAAGTTCTTAAAATTTTATGAGGTACTGTATATAAAGGACTGCTCGGAAGGTATTATTTTTTTCTTTTCTTTTATAGTAAAGTCTGACCACAGAAAGTTATGCTTTGACAGTGGCAGTGTTTCAGCAGAATGAAACTTGTGTGTCTTGAGTATGATGGTAATGAAGCAAGGACAACCATTTGATAACTTTTGACAGTTGAGGAAAACATATTAGAATTTTGAGTTTACATTCACCAAAGTATATGGCTGGTGTAATTACCTATGTGTAGTTATAGGACGAGAGCAACGCTTTTGGTTTCCCGTTTTCCTAATACTGGTACTGTCATGGGATGCTTTGAAATTACTGACTGTTTTGGCATCCACCACCACCACCACCACATTTGATGTGTTCCAACTGTCTACGACTTGCAAAAGTGAACTCTACAAAGTTTCTTGGCAGCTTTGTTTCCTATGTTTGAATCTGTGACCGCTTGTTTAAGTTTTCAAGATTTCGGCTGTGTAAATTTTGTCATCCTATTATCATTTTGTATGTACAGTACTGTAATGATCATATCACCTCTCGTCTATCTTCTAGCTGAGATCAGTCACCGCCACAGTTGGTTAAGCAGGTCATTTCTTTGAATGTGGCCTAGCTCACCTCTGATTTACCTACAACCCAGTTGTTCCTCTCACATACCTTAACTTATCCTGGATTTTTTGGGTAACCTGATCAGAATGTTGATGTTTGGAGCCTGCATGCCTGCCGATCATTTAACTCCTTTAGGAACCTGTCTTTTTCTCTCTTGAATACTTCAAATTTTCTGACAATATGTAATCTTTTATTTGCTGATAGAAGCTGGAACTGTTAACCATCAGATGTTGAGTGTTCATTATGCTTAAGGCATCCTTCCTTTCTACTGGGATTATTCCACACCTGTTTGTCACTTGTTTTTAGTTATCTTATGGGGCAGATTAAGCAGGTAGAGTAGCCCCAAAAGACTCCAGAGATGCTTTGTTTTTCTGTATGCTTGGCACCTGTTGGCATTAGCCCTGCTCTGTGCAAGCCTCTGACTCGGATAGGTTGCAATGAGGTGTTCATTAGTAAAGCTTGTTTATCTTAACGCAAGGGATCTTCCACGCTTTCATATTAGCTTTAATATATGATGTCCACAATGTTTAGGGTCCTCTGCTTTCATAATCCCCATTTACCGTGTTTTGGGGCTCTGTTTTTCCTGGCATCAGTTGTGAGGACCAACTTCACCAGTGGTTCGCTTCCTGGACGTTGTTGAGGCAACTTGAGTGACTCGTATCTTGAGGCAGGACTTCACATTGGCAGGGATTTAATTGATCTTATTCCTAAGCCTCATAATATTTAATTACAGTACTGTCTATGGTTGGCAATAAAAGTTATATTGGTCCACTTCAAATCTTGCCATCTGAACTATCTTACCAGGAATATACAAAAAATGAATACATCTTGAGATTATCTTGATAATTTCGGGACTTAGCGTCCCTGTGGCCCAGTCCTCGACCATGCCTTCCTTTTGTTATACACCCTCAGGTAGCAGCCCGTAGCAGCTGTCTAACTCCCAGGTACCTGTTTACTGCTAGGTAACAGGAGCATCAGGGTGAAAGAAACTCTGCCCATTTGCTTCTGCCTCCACCAGGGATCGAACCCAGAACCTCAGGACTTCGAATCCAAAGCACTGTCCACTCAGCTGTCAGGCCCCTTATTTTTGTATAATTTGCCCCAAACATTGGCAATATTTTGTACTACAACCTAGTTATTCCTGCCTTTTTTCCCAGATACTCCCGCTGTTTATCCAGTTTTGCACCACCATTTGTCCAGTTATGTCTGCTGCTAACCCGACCACTCCCAGTTTACTTGCAAATGATGAATGAAAATTCATTTAGATTACCCAAAGATTAAGGGTACCAAAATTCAGATTACCGATCTAATAGTTTTTATTTTTCCCACTACATTGGAAGGCTTAAATAATCGTGTCTCCTTTGGGTGGGTGTGTACAAAGTTGAATTATGGACATGAGTTATACATGCCTTGTAAGTGCAAAGATGATTGTTTTGGTTTTCTTCAGTTCATGACTGTTTTTGCATGCGTTCATTAAGAAAGCAAATTTTGGTGATGACCAGCTGAAGCCATTCTCCCAACATGGGGTGTCGCCTGGGTTAGTCGATTTTCTCACATTCGGAAGGATTTGTTTACCTCACATCTTTGCTGTTCAAGGTTTCATGGTTAAATCCAGGCAGTTCCGAGTCTGAATCTTGTGCTTGCAAACAGCTACCCAAACATGGGTAGCTGTTTGTATTTTTTTTTTGCTTTTTGTCCCTAATAGTCACTCCAGCATGCCTTTTATTGGCAGCACTTGCTCTTCAATGTTTGATACAGAATGAAGGTATGCTGCTCCTACTTCTCTAAAGACCAAACTTGCAGCCTAGGGCATTTTTCTAGGACTTAGTTGTTCCATAATTCTTGGACCCCCCATGCACCTAAGAAGAAATGCATGTATAGCCAACATTTTGTGTTCATTATTTTGTAGATAATCACGTTGGGAAAAGGAATAGGGCAAAACAAATGCTCTACATTCCATGGTTTAGCTATGCTGTAGAATGTGCCCTGTTTTGGTTGTTGGAGAGCTGGGCAGCTTGTGGTGTTCAGATGGCCGTTCAGATTCAGATGGCCACCTGGGTGTGATACCAGGTGATAGTGCTCACTATTTCTACAAAATTTATTTTATATATTTTTTATATTTTCCACAACTACATACATGTGAATGCACAGTTAAATGGCTCTAGTTTTTCTCCATGGAACACCACACGTACCTTGAGAGGGAGTGGCATCACGTTTTCTCCAGTATTATCCATGCTAAGCTTAGGTGTGTGTGTTCCCATACATCTATCAGGGTACACCTTTTTCCAGTTTGCTTTTCTATGGTGCTTCAGTTGGGATCCCAGCTTTTTTTGTGGTGTGACATTTGTCTGTGACCTTGTCCCTTCTTGGGTAGATGTGTACTTTTGTGCATTACTCTGGTGTTCCAGAGCCATTTTTGAGTCATTCTTCTCTTCTTTGGCTATTTCTGGGATGCCTTGGCTTTCTTGCATTTCCTTTTGTCAAATGGACCAGGTTTCCTGGTTGTGTTCTCTTTGTGGAGTCGCCTATCAGGTATACGACAGTCTTTCCCTTGTATTCTTTCTTGATATTTGGTCTTGGCTTCATTTTGTGCTTAGCCTTCCCGGCTTGGTGCTTTCTTTGATAATTACTTACTTTATTTTGTGCTCTGGTGTTTGCATTCTCAGTTTTCTACTCCACTGATCCACACTATTCCTGGAAAAGTACCCTCAACTCATTGGAAGAATACCTCTGATATCTAAAAGTGTTCCAGTCACTGGGAAGGTTGGGAATGAATCTCCCAGACCTCGTTTGTTCTTTCGTCTCGAAGTCGGTGTTTTCATTCCCTGCATGAGGTTCTGGTTGGATCAACTACAGTAATTCATCCATCTAGATATTAATTCTATGGGAACCTAAATATCTATTTTGTAACAGATATAGTTTTACAACGCTTTAATTTTGTAACCACTGATCAGTGTGAGCAACACATTGGTCGGTAAGGATGGATAATACAAATTTGTTCAGTGTATGTCAAGTTTTGTGGAGGCCACCACGAGCCAAGTCTTTCATCGCCACCTCCCCAAGTGTTCTGTATCCTAGGTTTCCTTCAGGTGCCTATGCATTTAGCCTATGTACTTTTGTATTAAAAAAATTGCATACAGTATCTGTTACCACATTTAGCTTTGTAAATGGAACCATCCTGTAGGGACTTGTATTTTGCTTTTGTGTTATATGTACATTTTTGGTCTTTAAATTATAGACAATATCAGTAGGTAACATGTCCTCCGAGTACTGGATTTGTATAGTGCTGTGATGAGGAAATAGCATAAGTATTCAAAGTTAGTTGAGCAGAGCACAGAGTGCTCTGAACAATGTAGACAAACAGTTATTTAGAAATGGTCTACTTTCAACATTGTGTTTATCTACATACTGTATTCAGACTTAATTTTATATACAGTATTATTTAATAAGGTTTTCAAAGATATTTGTATATTTGCATGTTAAAATGCATTGGCTAAGGGGTTAGCTTTCTACTATAAATAATTAAACTTTAATTACTTAAATTAAGAAATATGAATAATTTGCAATATGGGGTTTACATTCACAGGACAAGATTGTGTCTACTCAAGATTGTGTCTATCTGTATGAATGTATGCTGAATATTGTCTTTGAAAACTTAAACAAATGTGCATGTAGTAAATTTGATGGTAGACACACTGGAAAGAGTGATCGATTGATTCTGCATATGTGTGTTCTTGTGGTATATATAGTATGGCATCCCCCAGCAAGCTTGTAGATGGGACTAAATTTAACTGTAGAACATAGTTACAACTTGCTTGTATAAAGGCTTTAGTAAGTAGAGCTTGATTAATATGTCTCTTATATGATCTCTCATTGTTTTAATCTACCTGGGTGATTCATTTATTGGAATGATGTGTATCCTTTGAGATTCTTATGAAGTTATATACATCCATTGAGTTTACATATATATATAGTGCACATGAAACACAAATTAGATTATTCTTGACAACTGAAAGGATTGTGAATTCATGATTTAAATGTCAGCATTTTAACTCTTACATAATTCTTAATTTATTTTGTGTTTTTTGCTGCTGTTGTGAGCTTCATTTTATCAAGAATTCAAATAAAGAATTTGTACAATACTGTGATAACTGCAAATTGGAGTCAACATAAAATCTAGCTGAATATAAATGAAATTTACTGTAATGCAAGACAATAAAACAACATTTATTAGTTTGGAATAATAGTTTTGGCTTTGTCAGTCAAATTTAAATTAAGAATTTAAATGCAAATTTGTACTTTTTCAAAATATACTTTGCTATAATAGAAAAACATAATTTCAGCAAATTTATATTGAAACTAATTTTCTCTATCCTTTTGAAAGTCAATGTACAAGGCACTTATTTCATTTTTCATTGGAAAAAGTTATTAATATTTACTGTCAAACAAAGCCTATAAATTCATTCCTGATATATATATATATAGACAATTCTTGGCAGAGGAATTAAAATTGTGAATTAGGTGTATTATATAATTTTCCTGAGAGACTAACACTTGTTGTCTGTGTGTGATAGTAAGGCTTATACAATTTGATCTCTCGCTCTCAACTTTCTTTGCTCCGTCATTCACCCTTTCTTCCTCCATTGGCCCCCTCCCCCTTCCACGGTGCAGGGAACAGTGCTCCAATGATCCAGTGGCCAGTTGAGCATGGATTGTGATGTCATGGTGAGGGGACCTTTGTACACGATCTGCAGGTACGTGGGGAGCGTGGTACCTGCTTCCCTCTCCTGCCGGCTGTGGTGGTGCACCTTTTAGATTTGTCTGCAAACAAATTTACAGGGGGAGGGTGTATCATTAATGTGCATGTTGTGTGGTTTCTGGAACATCATTGCTACTACTCCCTTTCCCACTTTGCTTTTGCAAGTTTTGCAGCATCATGGATGTTTTGGTGGACTTGGAGGTCAACATTCAACAAGAGCAAAGCAGCACCAACATTGGTGCTGCTTTCTCAAACTTGTTAAAGAGTATGACAGTGTTCTCCAAAGTAGTGTTCTGAGCTCAATTATTTTTTTTGGTTGCCCTGAATGGTCTCCCTTCCTCCCTTTTTCCCTGGAATATTCTCAGCCCTTTATGTTGATGATCTCGCCCTCTGCTATTATAGTGATGATTTATCTTCCCTCCCACATTAGCTCCAGCTTGAGAGCAATGACATGTTGTCTTGGTCCACCAATTGTGGCTTCAAGTTTTCAATAACTAAGACTACTGCTATAACTTGAAGTATGTCATCCATCATCCCCTGTTGCTAATCTTTGGTAATTGGCTTGTGTATAAAGATACTGCCAAACTTTAGGGGCTGATCTTTGATACCTATTCGTCTTGCTCACCCCATATCACTCATCTCGGAGTTGAATGCTCAAAGGCCCTTATCTTAGTTTTGTCCCATATTTCCTCAGTGGCTGGTAAACACACTCCTCTATTTGTACTCATTTCCTGCCCAGAGCTTGTGTGTTGAAAGCAGTGTTCTGTCTCTACAGGATCACTCTGATCGATACTACCTTCACTACCTTATGCTGTCCCTGCAACATCCTCACTCATGCTTTTGCTATGGTTTGACCATTTCTCCTCGGGACACACTTGTTCACTCTCGCCACCTTTTTTCCTGCAAGGGTGGCTCATTTGCAAGATTCTCTGTTTGCATTAGCAATATCTTCCCCCATGATGGTCCTGCTTTGCTCACATGGAAAGTCCCACTGGTGAATTTTTTTTTTTTTTTTCTTCTTCTTCTTGCAGTTTTGAGAAGCCTTTCCTTGAACATATCCCTTCTCAGATTTTGTTGCTTTATTCACTGATGGGTTCAAGTCTGCTGACAATGTTGGCTACTCTGTTGTTTTTCTTGACCGAACCTATATGTGCTGTCAACCCCTGGAGGCTTGCGTCTTCACGGCAGAACTTTATGCCATTTTGTATGCTCTTCCTCGGCTATTTTCTCTACATCACCATTTCTTTATGGTTGATTCCGAGTGCCCTCATGGCACTGGAGTCTTTGAACCCTTTGCATCTTGTGGTGACTAAAATCCAGTACTGGCTGTTTCTTATTTGTAGCAGGTATAAGACAGTTGAATTTTGCTGGATTCCCAGCCATACTGCAGTTCCCTAAAATGAACTTGCCGCCGCCGACGCTAGGGAGGCTACTCGTACTCGCAATGTTTCCCAGAAAGGAGTTTCCTATTCAGACTTCTGCCCCATCATTCATGCATGTATTCCCAACAGTTGGCAGGGTCATTGGGCTGGCATTGCAGGCAATAAACTGCATGCTTTTAGTTATGACCATTTCCCTTGGCCTTTTTCCTGTCACTGTAATAGGTGTTGATAGGCAGCTCAGGCTAGGTTGTGTATTGGTTACACCTGCTTGACTCATGGTCACTTAAAGGAACAACGTCCTGCTCCTTTTTGTCCTAACTGTTGTCCTACTTAGTCTTGTACCTCTTTGTCGATTACCTTGATTTTCAACGTGTTAGTGTCTTGCTTTCCTGATGTTCCTAGAAGTCAGTCGTCTCATTAACATCCTCAGTGATTCCAATAACTTTGACATTGTTCACTTTGTCCTTCTGTTCTCGTATTGGCATCTTGAATGATATTTAGCTCCGCTTGACCTTGTGACTTTGACAGTGTTACATAGTCTTCTTGGTCTTGTAAACTTCTTTGATAATTACAGTGCTTAGTCCTGAGGCCCTGCAATGCCACAAGACTGTCCACTTGAGTTTGGGCCACCCTCCTGTGGGGACCAAACCAAGATCATAAGCCTATTATCCCTTTAAGTGGAATGGTTGAAGAGCTCCCACCATGGGTTTTGACAGGCAATTATGGCTTCTTGACTGAAGTCTTGCCTATAGTTTATGAACCCTTTGCATAGGGGAAATTCTCAATCATAAAATGTTAAATGACAAGTCGATAATGATTGTGTATTTACATGGAGCCAGAGGTATTTGGTTAGTTATTCGACACATTTTCCCCTCTCGTATTCCCTCTACCTCGCCTCATCCCATCTCTCCTGCCCCTTCTCCCCTCTATATCTTATTGCTAACAAATTTATTTCCTTCCTGGCTGTACATTGACACTTTTCAGTGGTTTTAGTTTTGTGTATTAGGTACAGTATACTATATATAGATAAAACACCGCAAAAATCACACACAACTATGCATACACACACGAAAACACATTGATTTGTATCGGAACTTGAATGAGAAATATATAAATTTTGTTGGTTTTTCTTGTCTTTACAGAGGCAGATAAGTTGAGCGAAATGGCTGCAGCTTGCGAATCACCTCCAAAGAGTGTCCTTAAGTTTGATGATGACTCCGAGTTTCCTCCAGTGTAAAGAGTGCAGCTGAGCTGGTTGGACTTGTCATTTATCCTAGATTATTTCCTCTTGTAAGGCTATATTTTTTGAGGTTGGGAGGGCAATTTGTTTTCAGAATTCTATACTACAACCAAATGTTTGGAAGAGTATTGGCCTAGATAATTTGTAATACTGTAAATGCTGAATGTTGGATGTATAAGAAGTGCTTTTAGCTCTTTGTAATGTTATTTTGTTCATTAGCACATCACTACAGGGCTTTTATCATATACAGTATATGGAAAGGCAAATGATGGGGGGAGGAGGAAGTTTTTCTGGACAGTACTAACAGCTTTTGAAGTGCAAGGTTTGATCGTGAAATTTTAGGCCGAATGTATTCTTAACCTTTAGACAGCGGTTATGGAGAAATGGTCTTATGAAAAAAAAAAATAATAAATAATTTTTCATTATAGAATTATTAATTTGTATGCAGAATGTAAGAACATGAAAATAAGTTAATATATATCGTTCTACTGGGTGGAGGCGCTCTGCAAGGTTGTGTCTGGCACTTGTCAACGCCTGGTGCTCGACTATGCTAACGCTTCCTGTTTTATCCTCCGATGTTTTACCGATTATTTTATCACTTGTTTTTCTTTATATACGTCCACAGAGCTTTTATATCCATATTTGCATCATGCATGTAAAACCCAGACAATAATTGTTTCAATCATCATATAACGATGACTGCATTTCCCGAGTGACATTCATGACGATAACTGCATTTGTGCCATGAAATGGTTGCAGGATTTTGTTTCTGGGCCAAAGTAAACTCCAATTACATCCACATAGACTTATTACTGTATATCCATATTTGCATCATACATGTAAAACCCAGATAATAATTTTTTAAATCATCATTTGATAACCACATTACCCTGTGAATCAACAGTTGAAGATAATCGCTGTCTAAGGGTTAATCTGTGTAAATTGAAGAAAGTGGTAATTAGTTTTCTTGAGTTATCTTGAGTTTGGTGGAACACTTGGAACTAAAGGTACATATGATGATTAATGATAAAGAATTTAAACTTATTTTTCTTGCTCAAGATAGATCGTTTCTTTGTGCATTGGTATGATAATTATTGTTATTATGTTATATTTATTATTATTGTTAGTTAAATCTCTTGTGGTGATAGTATTTGTCATCTTTATACAATATTCACAGAAATGATTATGTACAGGTACTAAGTTGGAGACTTGCCATATCACCTCTTGTAATCTTTTCAATCTTTTCAAAATTTGTTTGTCAAGAAATTATTGTGAACATAGCTATATCGTGAAGTTCTCTAGGAAAGTTGGGCTGCATTATTTGGTACTGTACTAGTAACTATTATGTTATGGTCCCTAGTGAAGTGGTATAATTTGCAACATGGCAACAAAGAGTTTGTTGGTCATAGCATTGAAGGTTATTAGTTGTCCTCAGACTATCCTTCAGTGTCAAGCTATGTTTTTCCTTTGAATAATTTTTTTAAATGTTCTGACTGGAGCCAAGAAACGGATGCAAGTTTAGACAAGAGGCGACTGTACCAGCTACATTAAATCACCAGTAGTAAGAGCCAGTTGGCAAGTTTCTTTTGGTCTTGTGGATACTGCCTATATTACTATAAAGCAAATGAAAGATCAAGAATATTACAACAATTAGAAAGTGCAGTACTTAATTAATATTTATATACTGCTTGTAATGCATTGTAACATTATCTTTCCTGCCTCTTGGTCGTAATTTGGGAGTTTTATTTTTATTTGGATAATTCAGTAATTTTCAGTCGTGCCCAAGTCATAATTTGCACTAGCACATTTAAAAATGAAAAATAATTAAATTTACTTTACAAGTGCTAGTGTGGTACTGTATGTGGATACTATTAGATGCAGGCAGCCCAGCAAATACTGTAGTGTTTATTAAAAGTGGATATGAATAAGTGTTGTTATTTTCATGTTTAGTCTTGGTTGCTGTAGCACGAGCACTAATTCTCACCGCCATGCCAGTGCTGTTCATACTCGGCAGTACATAAATGTTGTGCAAGATATTGGAATTATCACTACATACCATAACCTTGGAGCAGAACTAGTGATTAATATTTAGCCTTACCAGACGAACAGTACTGTCTCGGCTTTCACTATTTTAGACACTGGTTTTTTTGTGTGCTCTTTGTTGCAGTAGCTCACAGTAGTTTTTCAATTATTCTACTTTATCCTGTATTATGATTTGTCATAATGCAAGCAGAGGACATACGTTATATTTGTCAGTGACCTCTTCAAACTACGGTATTTTATTTATTCAAAAGGCACTTTAGCAGTGAAGAGGCTAGCAGTGTCTTTTTTTTTTAGTACTGTACTGGATTCTGTGTTTCACAGTGATGAATGAGCTATATATATTTTTAAATATGTAGACAAATCAGTAATAATGTAGAATAAATTATTGCAGGAATTTATTTCACTGAAATTTTCAGTTACAGCACGTTCATTAGTAGGGTAGGTTATTTACTGGGTCTTACCGGCAAGCTGGGCATGTGCCAGACACTCGACATGGTGCCGTTGGTAATAAACTTGTATAGTCTAGCCAATGTCAATCAAAGTTGGATAACTGGACTAATATGATAATTTGGGGTAAGGTAAGACTTTCACTGCTCTGTATATATATACATTAAAGTTTTGTTGTTTTTTATATGTAAATTGCATATTTATTGGGGCAATGTCTCATTGTATCACTTGGCTGGATGGAAATGTTACTTGTCCTCAATATACTGCTTTTTGGGGGGAAGGGGACGGAAACAAATTATTTACCGGTAACTATTGATAGCAAAATCAAATCCAACCTTTTTCTCCGTGTCTTGAGTAGTAGTTATGATAAGCTAATTTTAATCGGTTTAGATTTTGTTAAAGGTCAAATGTGGCAGTTGCTTGCTATTGATATAATGGTGTTTATCAATGCTTGCCACTCATAATTCTCTGATTTATAATGATTACTGTGTGTATTATGGCACTTCATGCATGGCAAAGCCTTTTAGCTGAAATGTGAGTATAGGTATGTGGATTTAAATTATGAAAAGGAGTTTGGACCCATGGCTGTACTTTGAGATTTTGACCATACTGTAAGCACATGCTGTATATACAAGGTTGCACAGAGCACTTCACTCATAACCAGGTTTCAGTGATCTCTTCATTTTGTCATTTATGATATATATATTGACTGTAAATCTCATACAGGATATTATTGTGGGAGACATTATCTTTTAACACACTGATTTCATATTACTATGTGTGTGCATATATTACAAGGCTGGAATTTTTGTAATAGATTAATATAAGTATAATATTCAAAATAGTCAAGGTGAGGTAAGGGTGCAAAAGACAGTGTATTGATGGGAATACAATGGCCCTTTTTTATTTTTTTTAAATGCATGTTCATACTGTACATTGTTCACCACTCTAAGGCAAATTAATAATTTAAAAGGATGGACTGGCATTTTTATTATGTCTTCCACTATTGGAAGATGCAATTTTCACCATGCGAGACAATTTATCTCCTCTGGGAGCTTAAAACATGAGAGTAACCAGCATTGCATATTCGGGAGTAACGCTCGGTATAGTTCGGCTTCTTTGTCTTGAAAGCAGGCCGTCATTCCTGTGTCGGAGCATCATTCCTCTGGCACAGCATTGGAGCAGCTATGCAGGCTTTATATACAATATTATGCATCAACTATACTTTTGATTCTAAGAAATAAGTTTGCTGTTTAAGGCAAAAGCAGTGCAATGAGTAACAGTTTCTAGCTTAATTGGTCAGCTGCTGCTGCAGTGAACAACACAAAATGTAATACAAAAACTAGTGTTTGATATTGAGTGTGCAGCATTTAAAAATGAATTGTATTTAACAATAGTGACTGAACATTTCCAATAACTTTTACCCTAGTGTAAAATCTACAAATTTCATTTAATAAGTTTAGTTTTCAGTTGGTATTATTCAAGTTTGCAAAGAGTATTTACATTTATGAGCAGAAAGCAATGTTACTGTTTTGTAAATTACTTTATGGTATTTGAAAGTATGTTTTTTGTAGTCTGATGTATGAAAGTGGTTGTTTTCTGCAAGTACTACATGCTCCATATAAATACAGTGCATAGTGTGAATTTTGACAATTATTTGAGGTTTCCTTCTGGCAGTTACGATATTTTAAGAGATTGTGCTGGTTAATTTGATGGTGTTGAAGTGTCGGCTTCATGTACTCTGTTAGAATGAACGGACACTCGAGGAGACAAACTGAAAGATGAATATTAATAATTGCTTCTAGCCATTTAGAGTGCAACTCTCATGGTGGGTTTGGTCTTCAGATGTAGAATTTCATTCATCATTGTTGTGTTCATGTAAAGTTTGTCTTTTTATTGATAACCCTAGTACAATAATACTGTACCATAAATACCAGTAGATCAAGTTCACCATTTCTCTCATTAAGACATTATCAATAAATTATGAATAGTCTTTGATACACTATTTGTTAATCAAGTTATCAGGATTCTTGACCAAAATATAGCATAGGTTATGAGAATATTAAAGATGCTTACAGAATTATGTTGCCATTTCTTTAATTTGTATATTGAGAGTACTAAATCTCTGCTTTGCCATGAAACTGTCCTGAGAAACCAGAGCAAATATTTTGCATGGCTTTTATTTGATTATAATTTTAATACACACTGTATGCTGAAAACATTTATTGTAAGATGGAAAAATTTTTGTTTTTGTATTCTCCGCTCTTGGTATCTTGTAAACCAAATTTGCCGTGTTACTAAGTAATGAATGAGAAAAAACATGCATCCATCAAATTATTAACTGTTCTACCTTAATTTTGAATGAGTGGAAAGTTCTTAATTCAGTATTTATAATAGTGCCTGGGATAAAGGTTATAATTATAAATATATAATTCACTAAATTGCATACCTTGTAGTTGAGGGTAGTTAATCTGGTCTGGAATAATTTGTTCCATAAATGCCAGACATTATATTTAGTTCATCATCAGTCATGATTTCTCTCGGCTCAAGACTGTTATGGATCACAGAAGCAAATTAAATAATTAACCTTGATGCTGTAGGTACCAAGTCTTGTCAGTAAAACATTGATTTTATAGTCATGACTGAAGTAAGAGATTAGTTCTGGGAAGCTCAATTTGTGTATCCCAGTCTATAAATTCCTTCTCCAGTGAAAGGAGTTAATTTGAGTGAATAGATCGGGAGGAGAGTCAAATTCTGCAACATGGAAAAATAATCATTTGCTAGAGATGCTATAGAACATCACAAGGAATTATTATTCCCCCCCCCCCTGTATCCGTCTCATATTTTCCTCCTACCACCCTCCCTTCACTGATCAGTACAGAAAACTAACTATGGCTCCAGGGGATGGTATGCAAGACAGTGGACAAGTGGTGTAAGTTGCAAGTTGGCTTGGCTGCCATGTGTGTGATCATGTGTGAGAAGATAATGATACTGTAGTCATTATGACTCACCACACCAAGATCAATACTATAAAATTTGTTTCTGCTTCTCCAGGGGGGGAAGGGGGGGGGTGGTCTTTCATGTTCATAATGATCGCGTGCAAATGTAACATTCATAACCTTGCCAGCCCTTTGTGGGTAAGGTTCGACATTCTCAATGAATCTTGTAACGAGTTTCACTTTGATGGTTATTGTGGAAAATACTTAGTTATATAACTAGAATTAATGTTTGACAAATATTTTTAACAAGGTTTTTCTGTAGCCTAGAATCATAGCCAACATCTTTGTTAACACCTTGACAGTAGCGTAAATAATTATTTATTAAGTATGGGATTAATATGCTTTGCAACCATACTTCATTTTAGTGTCTTAATTAAGGATTGCCTGCATTTTATATGTATATATTGTATATTAATATTTACTGTTTATATATATATATATATATATACACCAGTAATGTATATACATATATACTTTTTTTTTAACCACAAATAGCAGTTTGGTACCGGCAAATACTTCCATAAATATTGAATTTTAAAAAGTTCTTTGACTCGAGTGCATTCATTATCTGTTATTTATAGCAATGCCTTGGTACTATTGTTGTGTATAATATAGGCATCCTTCAAGGTGTTACCCAAGACCATTGGCCATGTACTTGTTGCAATGAGCTGCCTCATTGACATCTTGAGAGTTGTGTAAATGTTTGCAGAAAAAAATTATTTTTTTGTACAGTTTTCTTTAGTGTTTTGTAGATGAATTTATATATTAATTATATATACTATACTAGATACATGTCCAATTGCAAAAAAAAAAAAGAATCTAATGCAGAGTAAATGTTAGTGTAGATATATATGCTGTTGCAGTGGACATCTTGAAGAATATATGAGAAATGCGGCTTACGAATGGTAAATACTAGAACTTTACCTGTTGTTGTTTTACCATTTATAACACAAAATAAATATAAATATTTGACAGTTCAGAAGTCTTATTAATTAGTGTAAAGGTGCTAAACCTTACAATATAAACCTGTTGATTTATATAATAACCAAATTTTACTGGTGATGCTTCCCCTTCCTTTCCAGCTCATTGTCGTCATGAGGGGCTTGGTGGGCGGCTGCTGGGGTACTTGCCTAATTGTGCTTGCGGGGGTTGAGCTTTGGCTCTTTGGTCCCGCCTCTCAACTGTCAGTCATTTGGTGTACAGAGTCCTGAGCCTACTGGGCTCTATCATATCTACATTTGAAACTGTGTGTGGAGTCAGCCTCCAGTTATGGGGTGTGATGCTCCATGGGACAGTTCTCTGTCTTTTTGAAGTCTGAAGCTCCTGCTGCCATCTTCACTAATTTTGCTGGAAGCTATTTCCTCTTCCCTCTTTCATTTTTCCTGTCCCTCCCCCCCTTCTCTCTTCACCTTTCTAATTGTCATCTTCTGCAGACATATTGTCATTCTGATTATTCTTTCGGACGAGTTTTGTTTTGACGCCAGGGTGTTTAGGGAGACACTCTCTCACCCGTAGAACTGTGGTATAAGATGTTTGGAGCGAGGGGACGCTTTTATTGTCAATCCTCGTCTTCGTTGCTGAACCTGATCTCAAAGGACTTTACGTTCCTTTACGTTCTGATTCAAGGGGTCCTCTTCCTGGTTCTCCATCTGGTATTTCCCTCCTTCCTTCCCAGTCTGCCGTGTCTCCTGTGTCTTTCCCGTCTACTCTTCCCCCCCCACCTCCCCTCCCCGATTCTTCTACCCAGCCCTTTTCCCCCTCTCTTGGCTCTCCACGCCGCCTGTCTGTCCATGTTGTCCCTCATCATCCTAGCAGTATGTTGATCGTGCCCATTCTCCTGTTTAGACTGTCACCCAGTACGTTGCTGCTGGCACACGTGTCAAAGTCAGAAACATAAGCCTGACTCCTCTCCTCCTTCCCCGGCAGGTAAGGCATTGCTTTCTTCCACACCCTCTGACTCCGACGCTGTCTCTGCATTCCCTCCCATTTCGGTGGTAGAGCCCCCTGCCCTGGCTATGGAAGTTACTTCAACCCTCGATTCTCTCAGTTGCTGCCCTTGCTGAGAGCTCTTCCCTGTTCCCTCCCCCTTCCTCCTGATTCCCTTGATCGCCCTTTTTCATTACCTCCTCCAGCTCTGAACCCAGTCCGCCTTTGGTCCGTTCTCCCACTTCCTTGACTTCGTCATTGCTATATTTAGCCATGCCCCCCTAGCCCTGATTTCACTGATCCTGAACCTGACCTTATTTAGTATACTGTGTTCTTCTTTAAATTTGTCTTTTCATTGTTCTCTCTCCTTTTGACAATGTCTATTCTTCAATGGAATATTCGTGGATTTTATGCCAACTTCCATGAACTCCAACTTCTGATAACACAGTTTTTACCAGTTTTTACCAGTTTTTACCGCTTTGTGTCTGTCTCCAGAAGCTGATAGTTATTCCTTTCTCTCTCTCCTCCCCCCCCCCACCAACCACTTGGGCTGGACGGTAGAGCGGCGGTCTCGCTTCAAGCAGGTCGGCGTTCAATCCCCGACCGTCCAAGTGGTTGGGGCACCATTCCTTTCCCCCGTCCCATCCCAAATCCTTATCCTGACCCCTTCCCAGTGCTATATAGTCATAATGGCTTGGTGCTTTTGCCTAATAGTTCCTAATCCTCGTAGTTTCCCTCCCCCCCACCCTCAGCTCTTGCTGGTATGGCTAAAGTGAGGGTTGGAAATCTTATGTCTCCACCATTACGTCCGATACTCCTCTGCCGCAGATCTGGAAGAAATCCACAAGATAGCGGGTAAGTTTGTTCCAGATGTTCCGCCAGTCTTTCACCTCTGTGGTACTCTTGTGGCGCGGGTCCAGTGATGGTCGCGACCGAACTGAGTTCCCACTTTTTGACTGTTGGCTCCGGTTCTCATCTTCCTCACTCCTTCCTTCGTAAGTCCGTTCTTGAATCTCATCCCTTAGATTTCCGCACTCATCTGACTTCCCTATAATGATCCCTTCTCCCTCCGAACTTCAGTCTGCTCTAGCCCTCTGCGGTTCTACGGCAGCGGGCTCAGATGACAGTCATTATGAGGTGCTTCGCCATCTCCCTCCATGCGCGTTTCGGTATTTATTGAATCTGTATAACCGAATCTGGGAGTAGTCGTCAGTCCCTGAGGACTGACTCAATGTGGTTGTTCTCCCTATTCGGAAACCGGGGTCTCTAGGAACATCCTCCAAGGACTTCCGCCCCATTGCCCTCGCGAGTTGCGTCTGCAAACTCTTTTGAACGTATGGTCAATGTCCGTCTGATGTGGTTCTTGGAACCCTATCACCACCTCTTCCCTTCTCAATTTGGTTTTCGCAAGTGCCGCAGCACGACTGATGTCCTGGTGAACTTGGAGGTCTATATTCGCATTGCTTTTGCTGTGAAGATCTCCGTTGTTGCTGTCCTTTTTTTATCTGGAAAGGCGTACGACACCACCTGGAGATACCATATTCTGTCCCAAATTCTTTATTTTGGCCTTTGTGGTAATCTCCCTCTTCCTCCAAAGCTTCCTCTGTAGTCGTTCTTTTAGAGTGAGGCTAAAGGACTCTCTGCCTCTTTTCGGCAATATGAAGGTGTACCCCAAGGTAGTGTTCTGAGTGCTACTATTTTTCCTGGTTGCCCTCAATGGTCTTCTTTCCTCCCTTCTGGCATCTCGGCTCTGTGTTGACGATCTTACCCTCTGCTGTCAAGGCGGCTTCAACTTGTGATTAGTGTCGTGTCGTCTTGGGCCTACAATCATGGCTTCAAGTTCTCTACGACTAAACTTGTGCTATGACTTTTACTCGGAAGCAGGTCGTTCTTCGTACCTCTCTGTCGCTTTATGATCATCCCCTTGTACAGTACAAAGGTTCTGCTAAGTTTTTGGGGCTAATCTTTGACACTCGTTTGTCTTGGTCGCCCCATATCTCTTGCCTCAGAGTTGAATGCTCTAAGGCCCTTAAGGTCTTATCCCATATTTCTTGGGGAGCTGATGGGCGCACGCTCCTCTCTTTACATTCCTAACTTGTTCTGTCTAAACTCGATTATGGTTGCCCTGCATACTCGTCTGCATCTACTTTTCACCGTCTTGACGCTATGCACCATACTGGGTTACGCTTCAACACTGGTGCCTTTCGTTCGACTCCTATCCTAAGCCTGTATGTTGAAATTGGCGTCCTGTCTCTACAGGATCGCCGTGATCGCTACCTTGCACGATCCTTACAACACCCTTACTCTCGCTTATGTCGTGTATGTCGTATATTTTTACTCCCTCCTGTGGTTCCTGTTCTCCTTGACCACCTACCTCTTACTGTACGGTTGTCTCGCTTTCAAAATTCTCTTTCGGTTCGTGTTACCAATATTTCCCCCTAGTGTTGTCAGTCACTTGGACTGGACGGTAAAGCGACGGTCTCACTTCATGCAGGTCGGCGTTCAATCCCCGACCATCCAAGCGGTTGGGCACTATCCCCCCATCCCATCGCAAAATCCTTTTCCTAACCCCTTCAAAGTGCTATATAGTCTAATAGCTTTGAGATATATACAAGAGTTGTTACATTCTTGTACAGCCACTAGTACGCGTAGCGTTTCGGGCAAGTCCTTAATCCTATGGTCCCTGGAATACGATCCCCTGCCGCGAAGAAGCGTTTTTTCATCCAAGTACACATTTTACTGTTGCGTTAAACAGAGGCTACAGTTAAGGAATTGCGCCCAGTAAATCCTCCCCGGCCAGGATACGAACCCATGACATAGCGCTCGCGGAACGCCAGGCGAGTGTCTTACCACTACACCACGGAGACTGCTTGCTGCTTGGAGACTAAAGCTTGGCGCTTTCCCCTGATAGTTCCCTTCCCTTCCCCCTAGTGTCGTTCCGTCTTTTCCCCCGTGGAGGGGGTCCCCTTTCGTAAAGTTTGTAAAACCTTGACCATTGTGACAAAAGCTTTTACCTCTCTTACAGTTCTGAAACACCTTTTCCTTGAACACTATTCTTCACTCTCCCATTTCCGTCTTCACTGATGAGTCTAAGTCGGCAGACGGTGTAGGCTACTGTTGTTTTTTCCTGACCACACCTATGTGTCGCCTGCCTCTGGAGATTAATGTCTTCATGGCAGAACTTAATGTTATTCTATATACTCTTCGTTAACTGCTTTCTCACTGTCAATCCTCCTTTGTTGTTGTTGTGGACTCGCAGTGCCCTCATGGCTCTTGGAGTAGTTTCCAGAGCCAAAACAGAGTAGTTTAGTAGTTTCTATAATTTTCAAATTCCTTGCTGATTAAAGCTGTTTAAACCCCATACAATTGTTAAATTAGGCTGCGTTAGGCTCGGTTGGATTAGGTTGGTTTTAAAAATCTGTTGGCGAACTGGCGGACGATGTAACAAATTTAGCAATAATAGAATTTCCGAAGTTATTCTGCTGTAAACTGGTCGGATCGTCTTGCCCAATAAATATATGAAGACTGCAATGCAGTCTCTTGGACACTTACAGCTGTTAAGGCAACCCAATGGAACCTTTGCTGAAGCCATTGTGTATCCCGCCTCAAGTTCAAGTATGTTTATTGAGATAAGCAATAAATACATCTCAAAGGGATAGAGTAGCTTAGGCTATTTCTACCCCGCCAATATCCCGCCTCCTGCTCGCATTAGCCTAGTATTTCCAGCCGTTTCCTGACATCGTGATCATATTTTGGTGCTCGAGATCGTGACATTTTTTTGACAGCTAATATAACTGAGATAAATTCTACACATCATTTAATGACGTGTAGAATACCGAGGATAATAGGATAACAAGTAGGAAGCACACGTGGACTCGTGTCTGAGTTGCTACTGCCAGTGGGCGGGGCATGGCGGCGAAGCCCTGTGTGTATGTGTAGAATCACAGGATTTACTGCGAGGGATTGCATCAGGAAGCCCGTCACACGCCGAGTAGGCACTGAACAACCCATACCAGACCTTTCCGGATTTTAAGCCAGTAAGTTTTTT